GAGTCAGCTAAAATACATACTGATTATGAAGCGACATTTTCGCATAATGTGGTCCAATCATTTCCGTATAAAAGACTTGAAGCATATCAAGCGATCTTTCTAATGCACATATTTAGTACCGTTACCCTCGATACAGTGAGTACAAGCCGTTCGTAACGAAACAAAATGCAAATATGTTTTTTAATTCGATTTATGAATATTATTCATAACGTATAAATTTATTATGGGCCATAGACAATGATTGATATTTTAAAACGTTCTAGAATAGCGGGAAATCATAGATAGATTTTAATATTTTTGTTCTGTGGTTGCTTTATACTTCTTATGAAAAAAAGAAACCTTATATATGCTACATATACATATGTATGTTATATCTATAAGTGGTGTTTAAATTATTCTCTAGTTCTTTGACTTGAAACAGCCTACAGCCATAGATTATACCTACAACCTATTTATGTACAAATCGCACGTAGATTTATACTTACCGGACACGAGAACGTTTTTGTAATGTCCCATGATCTTGGCCACTACGTTTATGTATGTAAAAATCCCACTATAATAATGAACCATAATGCTCTTGAAAATTTACATAATGCCGAGCAATTACGAAAAAAAATAAAAATTTACATGGCGAAACGTCTAGAAGCTGCCCAGAGTTGTAGAAAAAGCAAAATGGCGCGTAAAATTTATAATGGCGATGGTTGTTTTTTTTTTAAGAGATGAAAATAGTTTAGTGACCTCGCTTTAAACCTCGTCCTTAAAAACGTATTAATCTAGCTATATTCTGCGGCTTTGTCTGTTATACAGGTACAGATTTCATTACTATTTTTTATATTTACATTGAGATTTGTTCAGTTGTGTTTGCATGGCTGTGTTTCGGTTTGAAGGGTGGGATATGGCAGTGAATTTACAGGGTACAGAGGAATAACACCTGAGTCCTCAGGAATGGCAACGCATGGGGGGTATCATGGGCGAAACACTATACTCTGTTATATCCATGGTACTGCTCATGTCTATAGGCAATGGTTACCACTTTCCATCAGGTGGGCCGTCAGCTTGTTTGCCATTCTATGTTGTATAAAAAAAACGTACATCCAAATATTCTATTTAAGTGATTTAGTAATTTAAATGTAGCTTTAATGATATATTGTATGTTATAAAAATACACATATGCAGAAAACAATCCGCTGCATTAAAATAGTTTTATTTTATAACAATTCTAGTTACGACAGTGACCGCATTCTGTGCATATTTTATGCTTCTCTTCAAATTGTAATTCCTAATTATATATATAGTAGGTAACAGTATTCTTTAATGTATTTCATATCCTCGTGCATATAAATAAACTTAATATAATACGTAGGTACTCTTGCGCCTGCCCACTTCTGTATGTTCTCCTTTAACCAAAGGTTGTCTGTAAGAGATCGCCCTAGCGATAACACCGCCTTTTGTACCGTTATATGTATATTTTGATCTGTACTCCATGCTACTGTATTTCAGTTGAAATGTTTTTATGTCATTGTTTATTTTTATGTTTTTGGTGCAATAAAGAGTTAAATAAATAAATCAATACTCATTTAATTTACCTATTTAGATAGATAGATAGATAGATAGATAGACAATTTATTTGCATTACTTACAGCACACAAATTACAATAAAAAAAATAAAAAAAACATACACGTAATACACAGTAAAAGAGACAAAAGAATAAAAATAAAAAAAGCACAAATAAAAAAACAAAAATACAAAAACAAAATACATAATCTAACAATTCCTTCACGCGTGTGCCATAGTAACACAAAATGGTCACAGCTCAGTTTATTGCTTTGCCCTTAAAAGAGCAAAACACTGATATTCTGCTGTGGCCAAGAGTCAGTCGCGAAACTTTTCATTAAAAATTTACAATATAAATATACATATATATACATATACATATACATATACACATATATATATATATATACATATACACACACATACACACATATACACACATACATACACATACATACACATATACATAAATAAACTGCATTGTATGTGTCCATTATATTTGCCTCCACTTGACATTATATTCTACATAAATAAATAAATAACAGATACCATTAGATGAGGGGTAGTCAGAGATCACTTTCTGTCACATTCAGATATTCAGGCAATAAATATTTCGGCTACGTACCTATTGGGTATTCCAATTTTTTGTTTATTAATTAAAAAGATTTTAAGTTTTTTTTTAAAAATGTGTTTACTATTAGACAATCTTATTGGGGGTGGTATATTATTCCAGCATTTCGTAGCTTGGTAGCGGAAACTTCCCTCAAATGCCACAGTTTTATGAGGACGCCCTGCTAATAAGTAGCGCGTGGGTCTTGTACTATATTTGTCATGGAATGAATTAAATTGTAATTTAGAATATAGATATTCCGGTCGCCGATACTTTAAGATGTCAAATACTGTACAAGCGAGATGAAAGTTTCTCCGAGAGGACATGTTTAAGGTGGAATAATTATTTAAATATGGCGTTACGTGCGTTCTAGGCGGAATATTGTGACAAAATCTAGTACATGCATTTTGTACTCGCTGTATAAGACGTTGAGTTTTAGAATGCAATCGAGGTCCATACACTAAATCGCCGTAATTCAATTTAGACAAGATCAATGATTCACAAAGAGTGACACGAACTTCCTCATTCAGAAGATTTCTAATTTGATATAGAACTCTTAGACGATAAAAGCAGCTTTGAACTAGTTTTAGAACATGAGTCTCAAAGCGTAGTTCACTATCGATTACTATTCCAAGATTCCTAGCTTCTTTAACATAGTCAATTCTTTCCCCGGAAATATATATGTCAGGATTCTGGCTAAATATAAATTTTACTTGTTTTTTAGATCCTAGAACCATGTATACAGATTTTTTGGGGTTTAACATCATTGCATTTTTAACCGACCAATTCGCAATACGTTCAAGATCCTCATTTAATTTTGAAACACTTCCTGAGACATTTCCACGAGAAGCCGGGATATAAAGTTGAACATCATCTGCATAAATATGGTATTTGCAATGTTGTATCTGTTTTATAAGATCAGCACTATATAAAATAAACAGTAATGGACCGAGTATTGTGCCCTGAGGCACTCCGCGCGTGACTTCCGAAGAATCAGAAAACGCAGGTCTACCAGCTCTCCCCACCAATTTAACAGTCTGTCTACGATTATCGAGAAAACTCGTAAACCATCCGACTGACTGTTCGTCCAAACCGTAAAATGTCAATTTTGCCAGAAGTAGTGGAATACTGATACTGTCAAAAGCACGAGAGTAATCTAATAATGCTAGAAGTGATCCCTCTCCACTATCTTGACTCGTAAGAATATTGTCAACGACGTCCAATAAAGCGGAAACTGTACCTCTACCTTTGCGAAAGCCGGATTGCATCGCTGGTAAGATACAATTTTCCTCAACATACTTAGACAACTGGGTGTAAATAACTTTCTCCAGTATTTTCGACAAGTATGGAAGAACACTAACTGGACGCAAATCTTTTAGTTCTACTGGATTATCTACTTTCGGTATAGGAGTGACAATAGCCGATTTCCATAATTCGGGCACCGCGCTTGTTACGATAGACTTATTAATTATAGCCGTTATTATCGACAGTGTACGTGGCAGGGTCTGTAAGATCATGTCTCTCCCTATACCATCCACCCCACAAGCGTTGGACTTAATAGACAACAAGTACTTAGCTATTTCACTCTCGTCGGCCGGTTTAAGAGTGAGTGAAATATCACCATATCTGTGATACTCAAAATATGTCAAATCGGAAATAGACACAGACGAGGGGGCAGGCACGTTAATAAAAGAGTCATTGATTTCGTTCGGGTCATTGAAACGATCAGGTAAGCAGTCCTTTTTTTTTATATTTATATTAATTTTATCCCTAATATTTCTCCAGAATAGTTTAGGATCGTCACACTTAGAATTAATTAAATGATTAAAATACGCTCTTTTTTCATAATAAATACTACTATTTACTAGCTTTTTACATTGTATATAATACTCCTTATGATTACCATTTTTAGATCTACGATATCTCTTAAATGCCTTATCGCGTAAGTCCATCATATATTTAATAGTATTTGTTATCCACGGCAAAGATCGACCGTTTCTAATTTTGATCGTTTTTTCAGGAGCATGTTTGTTGTACAATGATAGGATTAACGAATTAAACGTATTCACCATAGAATCGACTGATGAGCAAAGCAACACGGATTCCCAGTTCATGGAATTTAAATCTTCAATAAACTCTGTCATATTCATATCTTTAATAGGTCTATACGTTATGGTCTTTGGTGTACTTTTTTTTTTTAATTGATAAGGTAGTGATAACCATAGCATGACCCAAGGAACCAGTGATGTTATTCACAGTTACGTCCTGCGCGTGTGCATTGGTACAAATAATGTCTAAAAGTGTCTCATTGTGTATAGAAAAGTGAGTTGGTTCAGTTACCACCTGTTTAAGATTCAAACACTGCAGAAACTGTTGAATTTTTTTAGTCTTCATATTATGAGCATCTGACATGTCAGCATTAAAGTCCCCAAGTAGGACAATGTAATCGTAATTAGAAAAGTATGTTACTGACTCCGTAACAGCATCAAGAAAAACATCAATGCCTACCCATTCTGGTCGATAAGCCGTTCCAATAATAACCCGTACTCCATTAAAGGTTACGTTTACCCACATTTGTTCGATATTTGCGACAGGATGCTGTACAACTCGCGCGCACAAACTGCGTTTGATGTAAAAAGCTACGCCACCGCCGCGTCCGCTACGCATGTGGCGCGGGCGCGGAAACAGCAGTCATACCCGGGCACGACTGGAGCACGCGCCTCTTCACCTTCGCGTAACCATGTTTCATTAATTGCAACAATATCAGCGTTATACCGGCTCATAGCTACAATAAAGTCATCTTGTCCGGTGCTTAAAGAGCCTCATTATAAAGCCCTAATTTAAAAAACTTAGTGCTAAATATGAATGTGATATAATAAAATAATTAACCATATATAATTATAAATACCAATAAATAATAATAAACTCACACAAGTAACCCCAGAAATAGACATTTCATACATCTGATCATTAATAAAGTTTATGTTGATTGTGTATTGTTCGAAATCATTTACAAAGACAACCAAGTGACCTTTAAAATAATCTCTTAAAAAGTGTGTTACGGTGGCAAACGTTATGAACACAAATTTTATAATACAAATAAAAGCAAACTTATAACAATGGACAGTTTGTGATAATAAATATAAATAATTAGTGACTACAAATAATCGTGTTCTATTGTTTTTCAACGGACGAACAAACGGAAGGCAAACCAAAAACACCTTCCAGGTCATCCTCCGAGTGAACTCGATATTTAACAGCATCACCCCCCGGATGCTTTCGAACATATACTTTCCCATTCCTTGTCCAGCAAAAGCGCCAGCCGTGCTGCCTCGCCGCCTCACGCGCTTTTTGAAATAATTGCCGATTAGCCCTGGTTAACCTTTCATTAACATAAAAACGCCGCGGCGTACCCGGTAGGCCTGCACCCTCAGTTGTCGCGCCACGGCGCACCCTGGCCGCCTGTATCAACTGGTCTCGCAAAGCACGTCGCGCCAACCGCACAGCGATGACACGAGGACGAGGAGCTGTGCCCTCTCTAGGCTCCGGCACACGACCCATACGAGTCGCACTCACCACATCCCGCTCCGTCAACGGTACACCCAGTTTAGTGGCCAATGTCAGGATCACGTGACCAACCGCCTCACCCTGCTGCTCCGGTACACAAGATAGCTCGACGTCGTTCAACAGAAGCTCCTGATCACGTTCGTTTAGCTCGCTCTTAAGTTGGGCTATACTTCGCAGTAAGGAGCCACCATCGCGTTGGCTCCCCGATATCTCATTCATTCGACGCTCCATACCGTCCATGCGAGCTGACAGACCATCAATCCTTTCATTACAGGCCTCGATCTTCAACATGGCACCAGAGACAGTGGCCGTCAGCTCCTCCATCTGATGCCGCACCGCCCTCAGCTGCTCACCAACAGAGCGCATCTCCAATACAAGTAAAGAGTCAGTGCCTTCCTCGTTAGATGATGATGCAGTCCTGGCTGTACCTCGGCGATGTGTGACGTTCTCATCAGCACCACGCACCGGCGTATTTGAGTTACCCGTTTTAGGCTGTTTGCTTCTACACTGATCACATTTCCATGAGAGTTTGTGTTCCTTTGTCATAGTGTTATAAAAGCGTTGTTCTGAAACTGTCGTACATTTACGCTCGTACACTTCCTGACACAGGCTACAACGAAGGTATTCCCTGTTGGAGATAACACAGCGACATCCCGCACAAGTGAGCTCCGTAGATGACATTTTATTCATTTCTCTATATAACAAAAATATGCAAGTGCAGACACAAAACGATGATTCACCCGCAATGCACAGCCGACCAGAGCGAGATGCACACGCGAGTTAGTGCGAGAGAGCAAGTGCCACCAGCTGACCGAGACCGCTGAAAGAGGCAAGCAAGGTCACGAATTTCACTTTTTGACCGTTAACGTTTTTAGTTTAAAATAAAATCACTTTTATTAGGTTTAATATGATTTACAACACTAAATTATTTTAACGTTTATTTAGTCCGTGTAATTACGTTTAATTTGGTATATGATAAGTACTCAAAATTGAATGTTTTATGCGATTTAAATAATTACTAGTGACAGCGCAATTGATAACAATGTTTACGACACGAAAACTCGCGGCTGACTCCAATTATTAGCTATTTTTAGCTATTTCCAAACTCTAAACAGAAGTTTTCAATTTTCTTGACTTGTTTTTAATTTTACACACTTTGTTGAATAACTATCGTGAGGTATACCGTATTGCAATTATGTACATATTGATTATTATATATATTACTAAGTTTCACCCACGGCTTTGCTCGCGTTTATATTGTTTTTGTTCAACAATTCTGGTTGTTGACATAGATAGAAATAAAATATTATATTTTTTAGTAATAAAATAGATACTAATGTGGAAGAAGCGAAAGAGGTTTGTTTGAATCGAAGCATTTGGCGTTCCATTGTTTCTGCCTACCCTAATGGGAGACAGGCGTGACAGATATGTATGTATGTAAAATAGATACAAAAAGAAACCCATCCACTTAGAGGAAAAGTTTGAAAAATAATAATAATTATCTAAAGCAAATCGGACGACTCAATAAAAAGGTTCATACAAAAATTACATTTCTCTCACCCCACACTCTTGAAGTTTTTTGCAAAAAAAAACTAGTCTATTACCGTCTTCAGGACCACATCTTTTTTTATGCAACTTAGAATGACAAACAAGCTGACGGCCCACCTGATGGAAAGTGGTAACCGTCGCCGATAGACATGAGCAGTACCATGGACATAACAGAGTATACTGTTTCGCCCATGATACCCCCTATTTGCATTTTGCGTTGACATTCCTGATGACTTAAGTATTATTCCTCTGTACCCTGTTAAGTCACTGCTATATCCTACCGTTTAAACCGAAACACAGCCATGCAAACACAGCTGCTTCACGGTTGAAACACGAATGGGATAGAGGTTTGGGCACCTCTTGTATTGTATTGTACGGGATATGGTATTGTTGAGCAAACAACTTTTGTACTTTTGTACCTCTGGTCTAAATCAATTTCTATACCAAAATTCATCATAATCGATTCATCGGTTAGGCGTGAAAGCGTAACAAACGAACAAATAAACTTACTTTTATTAGTTAGAAATATTCATATTGGTCCCATGTTAATTTTATAACAATTCACGATTGAAGTTACTTTTTTTAATTAGGTTTTTTTTTTATTTTTACATAATAAAACATAAATTATTGTGATTAAATTTAACTGTTAAATGCTAAGTGAATAATGTAATAGCTTTTTTTTTTATACAACTTAGAATGGCAAACAAGCTGACGGCCCACCTGATGGAAAGTGGTAACCGTCGCCCATAGACATGAGCAGTACCATGGACATAACAGAGTATACTGTTTCGCCCATGATACCCCCATGCGTTGCCATTCCTGAGGACTCAGGTGTTATTCCTCTGTACCCAGTAAATTCACGCCCTTCAAACCGAAACACAGCCATACAAACACAACTGCTTCACGGTTGAAACACAAATGGGACAGAGGTACCCAAGCAATCGACTTTTGTACAAAGTCTCCCTCTTAATCATAATAATAACATTTCATAAAAGTACTTCAATAAATTTATAATTACATAACATTTATATCTACCAAAACACATTTTAAAACTTGTCAAATATTGTCAAAAAAAAAGAAGTAGGTATCCAAATAGTGATATAATAAATATGACTGTAAAAGTACATAACAATTACATAATTATTTATAAGTATAACAAGTTATTAAAACGATTTCAAATAATTTCATAACATGACATGTTCGCACTTTAGAATTAAAATGAAACGTAAAATCCTGTCATTCAACACCTACGTATCTGTCAATCCGTTATAAAAAAGACCGGAAGGAAAGTTTAAGGTACCTACTTCGAAATAAAACTATATTGCAATAAATAGCTGTATAGCTAACACGTCGTTGCCTATAGCTCACACTTGGAATTAAAAACTTATTGAAAATTAAAAAAACAATAGATTCGATAGAACTGTACTTAATTTTTTTAGAAATGTACACTAAAATTGCTAAATGAATAAAACGGCAGAACTCTCAGGAATTCCCTCGCCTGTTTTTCAGGTGTTTTCTGTTCTTTGTCTTTTTATAAATTGGAAACTAAAATTAACATACGAAACTTTCCTTGCCTATTATTGCGTCTTATAATATAATACAGTTTAACCGAGCAATAGAATTACATTTAATTAATCCGTTCTCATGGTCAATTATAAATTAAAAAAGAGAATGTTAAAAATTCTATTTCCGCCATTGTTGTGTTTTCCCGCGCTTCAGTTGTCATAATTCAACCATAGAGCATGGCGGGCATTTAAAATCGTTCGATGAAAAAATTTAATACAATGTTATGAACTTTGAGTTGTGTTTCTAAGCTAATAACAGTACGATGGAGTGATAAAATATTAAGCTACGATACAGTAGTTTTATTTATTTATTCTTTATTGCACAATAAAACTTTGTACAAGTGGCGAGTGTAATACCATATGGCATTCTCTACCAGCTGACCATTAAGTAAAAACAGAAAGTGTATGAAGGGCAGATGTGGTGAAAAATATGTGACATAATTATAGTAACATACTAAAATAAATATACATAATACATAAGAAATACATATATAATAAATAAACGTTACTTTTAACACAACTATTGCCTGCAATACGTGGAAGTAAACCACTTTTAGGTGTCATGTTAAGATAAAGCATACACCAGATTTTAAGTCAGACTTCAGGAGGACAACTGTGAAAACCGCATTAAATTTGCTACAGTAGTTTTTCCGTAATGCCAGTGCCGGAACAAACATACAGATAGACAAAAATTCTAAAAAATATTGTTTTACTTTTAATAATAGTTTACCATATTCTTTTGTGTTGTATAGACATCGTCCAATTACCATTTTAATCATCATCATCATCATCATATCAGCTTTTAACCGTCCACTGCTGAACATAAGCCTTGCTTGCCTTGCTTGCCTTGCCACGCTTGGCAGATGGGTTGGATCGCAGTTTTTTTTTATGGGTGAAAATGGTATGGTAACCCCGCCTACGCTAACGGGATGCGCTTGCGGAGCACCAGTGAAGGGTGATAGATGAAAATGAAAACAGGCTAATTAGCCCATCATGATGAATTCATCAGGAATTAACCATGATAGTTTCCAAGGAGAACCGCGAGGAGGTCGACCTGGTTGGGTATATTGCTAGCAATGGAATTCTCAGTCTCTATTACTAACAATCGCTTTCCCCCCGGTTGGACCGCAGTATTAGTATATACAGAATTTTTGGCTCTCTGTCGGTATGTTTGTTCCGATATCACGCAAACACTAGGGTTTCGATTTCATCCTATAGAATAATTGCCAAGCGTGGCAACGCTTGCCAAGCGGATTAGCAGCCGCAGTTAGGCTTTAGAGATGTTTTGGGTGGGATGTTGCTACCCATCCCTCGCCTTCCCTTAGTCGTCTCTTACGACACCCACGGGAAAACAGGGATGGCCTATTCTATACCGGGGCCACACGGACATACAATTTTAATGTATAAGCATAAAATGTAGTAAATAAAATTAAATTAGGTTAAAATTTTTTGCTACGGAACCCAAACAACAATGTCGCATTCACCGCAAGGATTCTAACCGAAGTACTTGAATGACAACATAATAGACGCGGCGGCTCCTTTACCATCATACAAGAAAAAAGCTATAATCATCCTTAAAACTATATAAAAATAAAGATTATTTTAAAATAACCGTGTACGTGGACTGTGGTAATTTGTTATAGTTTTTGCAACCAGTCAACATCCACATATTCGGAATGACTTCCAATTGGAATGAATGGTCTATCTTAATGGATGATAATGGAATGGTAACCCCGCCTGCGTTAACGGTATACGCTGACGGGGCACCAGTGAGAGGTGATAGGTGAGGATGAAAGGTCAGTTAGCACACTGTGATGGATTCAACAGGAATTAATCAAGATAGCTACCAGGGGGAACTGCGTGGAGATTGACCTGACTGTGTATGAGAAATCAGAGCAATGGGATTAACGTCCCCATTACTAACAATCCCTCACCCCTCGGAATGAATGGTAATTCGAACAATAAGTTACTTATGTTAATGTTGGTTGTGCAATAAAGTGTAAAATAAATAAATATTCTGGGACGCTCCGCACTCTATCGGGGTAGTAGTGAGAGGTGATAAATGAAACATCCCCTTCCCCCCCACCTCCCCCATTATCCCAGTTTGAGGGGTGGGATATGACAGGGAATTTACAGGGTACAGAAGAATAACACCTGAGTCCTCAAGAATGGCAACATATGGGGAGTAACATAAGCGAAACAGTATACTCTGTTATGTCCACGGTACTACTCATGTCTATAGGCGACGGTTACCACTTTCCATCAGGTGGGCCGTCAGCTTGTTTGCAATTCTTGAAGCAAGTTACATAAAAATTAATATTTATGATCAAATTATCTTCAATGCTTTTTTTATCTGTCAACAGCCAGCAATGTGTGATGCCCATGATCCCACTGGGCCTGAAGGAGACGAAGGAGGTCGACTTCAGGGAGCCGTTCAAAGACTTCATTCTGGAGCACTACAGTGAAGATGCAGCTATGTATGAAGACGCGATCTCCGACTTCATGGATATGAGACAGGTATAACTTTTTTTTAATATAGCAATCCTTTTCCATGGGTGTCGCAAGAGGCGACTAAGGGAACTTAATGACCGAAGGATAAACAGCAGTGATCGCTCTTAAAACATATCCAAAGCTTAACTGCGGTTGCCAACCCGCCTGTCAAGCGTGAGAGCTACTGACAGTACTAGTCACTTTTAAGTAATGCAAAACACGTCAAAATAGAATGGCGACGGGGTACCAGTGACGGATAACAGAAATCGGAGCAATTAGCCAATTTTGGTAAATTGATCAAGACTTAATCACGATGGATTCCATGGAGGACCGCGTTGAGGGCGATCTGACAGGGTGTATTGCTAGCGATAGCACTGGTAGTCCGCATTTCTAACAAACCTTCCCCTCTCCCCCCAAGAAGAAAGATGAGCCAGCTCATCCGTTAGTTGGCCCTTAGTGATAAATTCATTAAAACAACCACGATGATTTCCAGAAAAACGGCGGGGAGGTTAGGTAAACAGGGCATTTTACGATCTCCCCTCCTCCTGATCAGGGGACCGTGGACAACATTGGAGCGCCTGTAGGTTATTATAACGATAATGGTCACACGTTCCAGGCGATGCGTACTCCGGTCCGGTCGACGGCGGGCGTGGCACTACTATTCAAGTACTACAACCAGCTGTACTTTATCGAGAGGCGATTCTTCCCGCCGGACAGATCGCTCGGCGTATACTTTGAGTGGTTCGATTCGTTAACTGGTAAGGTCCTACTGTATTCCACACCAATAAAATCAAAACAACAACAACAAACGACATTAACCAACAACAATAACAAACAACAACAATAACCAACCACAACAATAACAAATAACAAAATAAATAACAACAATAACTAACAACAACAATAACAATAACAAAATAAACAACAAAAATAACCAACAACAACAATAACAAAATAAACAACAACAATAACAAACAACAAAAATAACCAACAACAACAATAACAAAATAAACAACAACAATAACAAACAACAAAAATAACCAACCACAACAATAACAAAATAAACAATAACAATAATAATAACCAACTAGGATACTCATATGTTATGAAAAACCAGATGAAAAACATCTAAGGGCACAACCCAGAAGTCGTTTGCTCGGGTACCTCTGTTCCTTTCGTGTTTCTACTGTGAACCAGTTGTGTTTGTATGACTGTGTTTCAGTTTAAAGAGTGGGATATGGCAGTGAATTTACAGGGTACAGAAGATTAATACCTGAGTCCTCAGTAATGGCAACGCATGGGGGAGAATCATGGGCGAAACAGTATACTCTGTTATGTCTATGGTACTGCTCATGTCCATAGGCGACGATTACCACTTTCCACCAGGTGAGCGTCAGCTAGTTTGCCATTCTAAGTTACATAAAAAAACTAGAACACCAATTCAGTACGTCCTCTAAATTGAGCCGACCGAGAATTGAATCTTATTTGCGCAAAGCAACATGTTTACATATATTTTAATTTATTATTTCAATTTATTTTATTTATATATTTATTTTACACTTTATTGCACCAAATAAAAAGAAAAATAACAAATACAGTAAATATAAACGAGAAGTGATACAAAAGGCGGCCTTATCGCTAAGCAATCTCTTCCAGACAACATTTGGATAGAGGACATTGGGAAAAAGACAAATCTTTAGATTCTTTAAATTTTAATGCCAGTGCAGTTTATAGTTAAAATTCTACGTACATTTAGTGGACTTAACACCGGACGGTGTTCTCTACCAGTCAACCAATGGGCGAACAGAGAAATAAGTGGGCGATGCATTATTGAATTAAAGAAATATATATATTTATTTGTTAAATATTATAATTTTACTTTCAGGAGTCCCATCCTGCCAAAGAACAGTGGCTTTCGAGAAAGCCTGTGTCCTGTTCAATATGGCGGGCATATATACACAAATTGGCGCGAAACAGGTACGATAGAAAAAAAAATCCAATATACTGTATAATGTAATTAATAGACACTCCAGTTATTACAGTCAATTTACTTCTTAATAATATAAAAAAAATTTGTAACTGAACAATGTCTGTACAGACCAGAGGTACCAGAGGTGTACCAGAGGGAGACTTTGTACAAAAGTCGATTGCTTGGGTACCTCTGTCCTATTCGTGTTTCAACCGTGAAGCAGTTGTGTTTGCATGGCTGTGTTTCGGTTTGAAGGGTGGGATATGGCGTGAATTTACAGGGTACAGAGGAATAACACCTGACTCCTCAGGAATGGCAACGCATGGGGGGTATCATGGGCGAATTAGTATACTCTGTTATGTCCATGGTACTACCCATGTCTATAGGCGACGGTTATCACTTTCCATCAGGTGGGCCGTCAGCTTGTTTGTCATTCTAAGTTGTATAAAAACAAAAAAAAAAACACATTGAATATATAAAAAAATACGTAAATTTTGTCTGTGTGTTTGTCTCTATGTTTGTTATTGCAAAAACACCAAATTGAATGTAGTTCACTAGTATTCCTGAAGCTCTAACTCAAAAATGGGTACATTATTTATTTTGGTACGACATCTGGTAATGGTTTATTTCATTAAATTTCCTTCTTTTATATCCGCCCGTACAAAATAGCAGGTATAAGTTTGTAAAAAAAAATTAAGGAACAATAAAAACTATTTTTCCAATTGCCGTGTGGTCCCGGCATAGAATGAGCCACTGCTTCCTGTCCCGTTGATGTCGTAACAGGTGATTAAAGGAACTTAATGGTCGAGAAATGGACAGCAGCGTCCTTCTTAAAACGTCACTGAAACTTAACTGCGGTTGTCAACCCGCCTGCCAAGCGTGGCAACTACTGGGAAACCCCTCCCAATAGAGGTATGCCTATGTACAGCAGTGAACAGTTAACGGCTGACAGATTATTTAAAAAGTGCTCTGCTAGCGAACTAACAGTCGAGGGATGGACAGCAGCGTCTCTCTTAAAACGTCAATAAAGCTTAACTGTGGTTACCAACCTGCCTGCTAAACAATATCCCCCAAAAAATGCCTATGTTCAGCAGTGGACAATTGACGACATATATGATGATCCACCAGCATAAACCCATAGCGCAGGCGAGGTTGCCATTCCATTATCATCCTCTAAAAAACCTAGAATTAACCACTGGTTACGCCGCTTCGATTGTACCTGAGTTCATCTATTTTATTATGCTCTGTGGGCAAATGACGCACCAAAATCGCCACAGAGCAGAGTGCAATTATCCCGCTTGCCGAGCGAACCCGTCGCGCGCGCGCATCGTTTTGAAAAATATACTATACAGTTTTGTGTTGGACAAATCAAACTTAAAGACTATTCCATGCTATATTCTGCCCATCGAAGCCACCCAAAACAGTAAAGAAGACGAGGAGCAGTGCGGTGGTTAGGTCATCCATTTTGGGCACACCAGCGCTGTACTCGTGAGTTGCAGCTATCGAACGTATAACTTCCGCCTTTCGCCTTAACCAACCACAATGATTTTCACAGAGGATCACATGAAAGTGCCTGTAACTAACAATCCTCCCTCCGGGGCAAGGAATTATTAGTAATGCGGACTACTAGTCCCATTGCTAGCAATTTACCCTGTCATGGCGACCTCTATATAGTGCCCCCTGGAAACCATCCTGCTTAATTCCACATGTATTTATCATGATGGGCTAACTGACCTTCTTTTTCATTATCCACCTATCATCCCTCACTGGTGCCCCGCCGGTGTATACCGATAGCACAGGCGGGGTAACCATTCCACTCCTATACGAGAAGCAGCCAAACTCTTGAGCGTAGGGGGCGCCTGCACTACTCTAGTAGAGACATGTGTTTGCATGGCTGTGTTTCGGTTTGAAGGGTGGGATATGGCGTGAATTTACTGAGTACAGAGGAATAACACCTGAGTCCTCAGGAATGACAACGCATGGGGGGTATCATGGGCGAAACAGTATACTCTGTTATGTCCATGGTACTGCTCATGTCTATAGGCGACGGCCACTTTCCATCAGGTGGGCCGTCAGCTTGTTTGCCATTCAAAGTTTTATAAAAAAAAAAAAAAGACAGACATGGTGGTTGCGGTTCGGTTGCAGGAGCGGCACACGTGCGCGGGGCTGGACGGCGCGGTGGACGCGCTGCTGCGCGCGGCGGGCACGCTGCGCTACATCCACGAGAACTTCACCAACGCGCCCTCCGTCGATCTCGCCGCCGACACGCTGCTCGTGCTCGGCGCGCTCATGACCGTCAGTATACCAGCCACTCTTTGGAATCAACTTCCAGCAGCAGTATCTCCGAACCGATATGACATCGTAACCTTCAAAAGCATATTCCTTTTTAAAAGGCCGGCAGCACACCTGCAATGCCTTTGGTGTTGTGGGTGATCATGGGCGGCGGTAGTCACTTACCATCAGGTGAGCCGCATTCTCGTTTGCCCCCTGTGTTGTAAAAAAAAAACCGCTGCGACGGCTCACGGCCATTGTACGTACTGCTCAGGATACACTGTGCCAGAGTACATCTACAGTACCAGAAGGAATCTACCATACTGTACTACTACATGTAGATTAAAATAGAATTCGTTCAACTAAGAATGTCTAAGAACCCATGTTGTAAAATATATTAGGATAGAAACTGCGTGAATAAAACTCAAAAACAACAAAATATTTTGCGTCATATCAATTCATATGTTTCGTTCCCGATATAAAAGAGGCCATCTCTTTCTTTTCCATGGGTGTCGTGTCGTATCGTCGGAGGGGAGTGTGAGTTGAAAAAAGATTGTTAATAATACGGGCCATTTAACTTTAATCATGAGCGAAACAGTATACTCTGTTATGTCCATGCTACTGTAAGTACATTTTCCATCAGAAATTTGGGTGTAGAGCCTGCAAATTATAAATTTGGGGCGTAAATTAAGATTGTGACGGTCTTTAGACTGCTACTGAGATAATAGAGTGGTGGTGGAGTAGAGCCCTCGATTGGGCAACCCCAATCGTGTTGTAATAGTAAATGCTAAGATTGTGCGTGTGTGGCCGCAGGCGCAGGCGCGCGAGTGCCTGGTGGAGAAGCTGCAGCTGCAGGCGCGCGAGGCGGCGGGCGAGCTGCGCCGCGACCCGCCGCTGTGCCTCGACCTCGCGCAGGAGAGCGCGCAGCTCGCGCACACCTACCGCCAGCTCTACGACAAGGTGACCACCATGGCATTCAACTCGCAATTTTCGGGCTCCATTTCGGGTTTTTGTTCGTACCGAAATCGACCATTTACTGGATCAATTGAGAGATCGATGGAGCTTAACATTTCGTTCATCATAAATCCTATTTTAATAGTCCAGAGAAACGATATTTTAACGTTTTTTAATAATTTTAAACGGCATGTATTATGTAATTTTAACATCAAATTTCTGTTTTGTTAGTTCCCGAAATTTCGGAAAATATTTAATAGGGCCTACCTCAATACGCTACCCCGCTCTTACTCGTGTTTCTGCCGTGATGTAGCTTTGCCTGCTTGGCTATTGCAGCTTAAAAGGTTGGATGTGGCAATAAAATTACAAGGTAACGAGATAAACTCGTCACTTTTTAGAAACGGCAACGCAGAAGAAATACTATGTATTTATCAGAGCTGAGACAAACATAAAACCCATTCCTATAGTAAATTTTATGTAATCGTCTTCTTTTTTTAATAAATCCGTATAAATAATAACAGAATAAAATAATAATAATTAATAACAGAATATCAGTGTTTTATTTAAATAACTTACTTTCGTCTTCAGATGCAAACAGAGGGTGTGTACAACTACGTGCCATACTCGTGGGTCTCGCTGGTCCACGTCAAGACTGAGTTTTATAAAGGTAACTACCGAATACTAGTTTTTTTTTTTTAAATGATGGAATTGTATCTCTGCCCGCGCTATCGGTATACACCGACGAAGCACCAGTGGAAGATGATAGGTGAGAATGAATGCAGGTCAGTTGGCCCACCATGATGAATTCAATAATGACAAAAATTAACCAAGATGGTTTCCAGGCGGAACCGCGTGGCGGTCGACCGTAGAGGGTATATTGCTAGTAATGAGGCTATTAGACCTCATTTCTAACAATCCACCGAATACTAGTTGCGAATGGAACCTTCTCGAAACTCAAGGTAGAGATTTTCCCTAAAGACAACAGTATAGGGTTCAGCATAGAGCATAATAAGGTTTATCAAGTGACAGCATCCATAATTGTGTAATATATTGTGATCCTAAAAAAAACTAATTATAAACACACGCATACACACACACTGTTGAATAACGAGATATACCGATGATTGCCGAAGTATACCGATGAACGACGAGGTAAACCGATTACTGTCGTGGTAAACTTTTCAACCGTAAAGCAGTTGTGTTTGCATGGCTGTGTTTCGGTTTGGGAAGGGTGGGAAGTAGCAGTGAATTTACTGGGTACAGAGGAATAACACCCGAGTCCTCAGAAATGACAATGCATGGGGGGTATCATGGGCAAAACAGTATACTCTGTTATGTGCATGGTACTGCTCATGTCTATAGGCGACGGTTACCACTTTCCATCAGGTGGGCCGTCAGCTTGTTTGCCATTCTAAGTTGCATAAGAAAACAATCGCGTGTCATTGTCGTAATAAAAGATTTCCTTCTTTTATAAGTTACTTTATAAATCATTTGGATATATTTATTCCAGCGCTGGCGCACCAGTACTGCGCGACCGGCTTGCTACACGCGCCTGCCGGAAGCTCTCGTGAACGCTTGCTCGCCCTCTACGCGCCCTCTAGTGACAGGACGCTCGACAATGGTATGTATTTATTTGTTTGGACAATTTCGTCTCTATACGATTAAACGGTGTGACCAGTGGCAAACGATTGCAACTACGTTTACGCTACCGCAGCTTCTTTCAACTACCGCAGGAAAACATGGTGGTTATTATTTTAATGTAATTACTACCAGTTTAACTTCCGTGAAGTTAAATCGAGAAAGTTCGACTAGTTTCAAGACCATTCGGAACCCTTACTCTTTAGCGGCTGTGACGCGAGCGCGATTCTGACTGCGCGCCTCGTAAACGCATAAGTTAAACCAGTACTTACTACATTAAAATAGAATGTGTACTTACAAAACCTTTAGCAATGAAATCGTGGTTCTTCTTTTTCCATTAAGTCAATAGACAATCTAATTTTTTTTCTTTGATGGTCGATGATGGAATGGTAACCCCGCCTACACTAACGGTATACGCTGGCGGGGCAATGGGACTGGTAGTCCACATTACTAACTACTAAAATCCCTTCCAGACTGGTCATTGCATGTCGCTACCAGGGCAGGTGCTCAGGTACTCGAACAAAATCTAAAGAAGAAGGATGGGTGGACTTCCATAAACCCATATTGGTTTTCTTTAATTTCGCTAGGACTCCAACAGCTTTCTTCTGATCACCTCATAAGGGATCTAGTGTAATAGAACATCTGTTGTTTCCAAAGGTTCATCCGTAACACCCGTGCTGAAAGATCAGGAGTTGGACCATATGGCCTTGGGACGGGCACACCTCGCCGAGGCTTTAACGTTATACGAAGAGGCCCTCAGGCTGCAAAGGATGTGCCGGTAAGAAACATTAGATATCCAGAAAAAATAATATAAGATTAATCGTAATATAGTATTTTACTGTTTGTTACCTCATAACACCATCAGTTAGTAAACCAATTTGGAAAATTCTTTTCTCATCTGAAACTATATATTTACATATTGGTTCCATAGAAATTTTATCAAAATCGGTTCAGTTGTCCAATTTTGAGATCAAAATACCAAAATAACAAAATAATAGATAGAAATTGAAGTCTGTTTTTTTAAAACACAATCTTTCTTTATGAAGTAGTTTAAAATTTTATTTTTTATACCACGACAGCTGGCTGACAAGCATTCAGCTCGTCTGATGGTAAACGGTCACTATAGCCCGGTGTTTCCCAACGTAGGGCCGACGCTCCACAGGAGGGCAATTTGATAGTTAAGTGGAGGGGGGGGGGAGGAATCAAAAAATGAACTTAAAGCGATTTTAACCCTCTTGCTCCGAGTAGATTTGCACTTAAATGCTACGAGTAGATATCGGTGCCAAATTTAACAAATAAAAGTAAATTAATAAAATGCTGTATATATTTATTAGGTATAATTTCGTTTGACGTTGCCAAAATATCAACTGGGCGATTAGAGTCGTCAATTATGTATGGGGGCATAAAATTTTTAGATAACTTCAAGTGGGGCTTGGCACAAAAAAGATTGGGAAACACTGCTATAGCCTATGAACGCCTGCAACACCAGCCGTGTCAATATTGACCATTAGTTTTAAAAATAATATTAAAATATTATGGTGCTGTTACAGAGAGCTGCGCAATAAGGAGGCGCTATCTTTAGTTGTTCGCGCTCAACTCGAGAGGGCAGCACGGGACCGCGCCGCCGCCGCCGTCGACGAGCCCGATTTTGCCGACCTCATCGACGCACCCCACATACATCGTGAGTATATATTTAACTATCTTTTTTTTTATACAACTTAGAATGGCAAACAAGCTGACGGTCCACCTGATGGAAAGTGATAACCGTCGCCTATAGACATGAGCAGTACCATGGACATAACAGAATATACTGTTTCGCCCATGCATTGCCATTCCTGAAGACTCAGGTGTTATTTCTCTGTACCCCGTAAATTCACGCCATATCCCACCCTTCAAACCGAAACACAGTCATGCAAACAACTGCTTCACGGTTGAAATACGAATGGGACAGAGGTACTCAAGCAATCGACTTTCGTACAAAGTCTCCCTCTGGTATAATCTCTTCAGCCATTAATCCGCTGCTGGGCATAGTCCTTCTTTGGTAACAGTCCTATGCCAATCTCATCCACTACTTTCTCGCTATTCGTATTATTTTATCCAATTATTGGGTTGGTGGTCTACCAACTGTTCTCTCTTCTTCTCTTAGCCATTCTGTCACGGCTTCAGTCCCCTGTCCATCTCTGCTTCTACAGTTTTTTAGCTTTCTTATAGCTATTCATAATTTATCTTCACCCCAACTTCCTTAGAAGGAAAGCAGAGACTACAATCTTAATCTCCAAAGATTGCCACATATAAAAAAGATTTTTTATATGTGGCAATCTTTGGCAATTTTTGAAAAAAGAAAAGATATTTTATACTATCTATTATTCTAGAAGTATTTATTCTAGAAGTGTTCCTTCTATCAGAATCATGTAGCTATCTTTTATTTAAACCTTGGAATGGCAAACAAGCTGACGGCCCACCTGATGGAAAGTGGTAACCGTCGCCTTTAGACATGAGCAGTACCATGGACATAACAGACATACTGTTTCGCCCATACGTTTCCATTTCTGTAGACTCAGGCGTTATTCCTCTGGCTCCGTGGGCACGGCTCATCCGGCCCCTATTAATACCAATATACGTCTATGATTACCAATATTTACACACATCCAATACGTTTATGATATTCTCTGTTTTACCTAACTCCACAGCATCATCAAAATTCCAACTATCGCTGACACCACCGGATTTCGCGCAGCACCGGGTGGAAGACCTCTTCAAATCCCTAGGACCCATCGCAATCTTCTCCGCAAAGCGACACTGGAGCGCACCCCGACTAGTACAGCTCCAGAAGAACGGGGACAAGCGAACAAACAGAAGATCTGAGAGACGAAACGGGAGATTGGAAGAGTTCGAAGATAGAAACGGGAAGAGATCAGAAAAGAGAGACAGATCCGAAGATAACAGCACATACTACAACCAAGTTATAAGAAGCGACGAGAAGTACACAGACGAATACGAGAAGAAGAAACTGCACAGAGTAATGAAACAAAATGGCGTTTATATCAATAGTTACAATAATAACAACTACGAGTATCACCCGAAAGTTCTAGATTATGACAAAGATTATAATTATAAGAATAAAATTAGCAATGAATTTATAATGGGCACCGAAAATGGGAGTTGTAAACACGAGGCGGTCAATGGGAAGGTGAAAAGTGGGAGGGAGAGGAGAAAGGGAGAGCTGAGGAGGGTGGCGAGCGAATACAACGTGTCTAACTCTAAGTCAGATGATGACGGGTTTGGCTTCTCGGTGCGAGGTGATGCACCGGTCATCATTGCTGCGGTGGAGCCCAACTCGTTGGCTGATGTAAGAGAAACATTACTATATAAACTTAAAGCTCCTCTAGACAAGTTGTAAGTATACAGTAGATATATTTTCGCTACCACATGCGGGAGATAGAAAGAGACAACAATGTTCGGTATCTTCTTATAAAAACCGATAAATTAATTTGCCACTTGTCTAGAGGAAAAAAATCCAATTTCAAATTTTACTAATATTAAAATATGGTAAATTTTTCAATGATTATACCGTCCAGCTGTTTATACCTCCATGAGGTATCAACGGCTAGACGGATTTGAACGCAATTTAACATACACATGGGACTAATACTGCATTAAGATGTAAGACACTATTCTTTCTAAGAAATAGTATATTTTTATACCACTTAAGTGACAAACAAGCAAATGGCTTACCTGATGACCATCGACCCTGAAGAAACCGCTCCGTGAGGTTCGACCTCCACGTGGTATCCCCTGGAAACCATTATGCTAAATCACAGGTGTATTCATCACATGGGTTAACTGACCTGCCTTTTCATTCTCACTTGCCATCCGTCACTGGTGCCCCGCCAATAAATACCGTTAGCGCATGCAGGGTTGCCATTTCATTATCATCCATTAAAAAAAAACGGCGATGGCTTTTAGAGGAAACTTGTGAAGATCGACTTTACAGAGTATATTGCTAACGAAGGAAACTGGGGGGGAGAGATTTTTAGTAATTAGGCCTTAAAGACCCAATAGCAGTATGCCCTAGGTCGATATATATATGTTATGTATGTAATGTGATCATAGTTAAATTTAAATCCTCATCATTCCAGATCGGTGGTATGCGCGAAGGTGACTTCATCATTTCAATAGGAGACAAGGACGTCAAGTGGAGCGGTCACGATGAGGTGGTGAGGCTCATACAGCAGAGCGGGGACACGCTCACCATGCGGCTGGCCTCGCCCATGGACAAGAGCTCGCTGAAGGTATTGGCACTAGCATTGTTCATATGTCCGTATGGTATCGACATAAATTAGGACACCCTCTCTTTTCCCGTGGAAGTCGTAAGAAGCGACTAAGGAAATTTAATGGTCGAGGAATGGGCAGCAGCGTTTCTCTTAAAACATCACCAAAGCCTAACTGCGGTTGCCAATCCGCCTGCCAAGTATGGCAACTATTAGCAATGGGGGATCGCCCCCATAATAGGAGAGGCCTATGTTCAGATGTGGATAGTTAATGGCTGATATGGTATGGTGTTGTCATAGATAGAAATATTAAGAACAAAGAACGATATAAAGTTACTCATTTAAGTCAGGGTCTAGGAGTCTAATTACTACAAAGCCAAGCAGTCAAAAAAATTATTATTTTTTAGAAACAAACAGGAACGTTAATCGGGCAAGCATCTATTGCGGCAAAATAAAACACAAAATCATACCATCCATTAGAAAACTCTCTTCAACTTTGACTCCAAAGGTTCCCATACTGACTCGACAGCTGGACATCTACCTCAGAATGCGAGCGGAGCTTTAAACTATGCGCAAACACATCTCAGAATACATGACTTTTTAAGAGACTGGAAATAATTTTAAATACGCTAATGATAGAACCAAAACTAATTGATCGCACACAAAAATTTTAATCCCACAGGCGTCACCAGAAACCCCTCGTCAGTCGAACTCCAACCAGGGTTCAGTATCAGCTGCCTCCACCGCGTCCAGCGGGTCCACCGCCGTCACAGCGCGGTCCTCAGCACGACGGGCACCATCTTGGAATCCATTTAGGCGACACACCACAAGGGACACGAGCTCCCACCGCGGGTCCCATACCAACGTAATATTCAGATAACTGCCATCTATCGGCCAGTTGTGCAATGTATAGCGCCATCTATTAGAGGGCACAGCAATTCAGTCAGGTCGACTGGAATGGAAATGATGAATTATGCAAAGTAGTTCGACTGATATATCGTCACCGATGTCGTTAAATAGATAGCACTTTCTGTATAGAAAAAGTCGATGTTAAGTTAACAGTACCACCTACCTGTGACAGGAAACTGATTTTATAATCGAAGTTGAATTAGACACGTAAGAAACTCGATTGGTTTGTTTTATAAAAGGAATCCTTATTATCACAACTATTAAATAAAATTACGCTTCATAAACCGAAAATATTTTTCTTGTCACGTGAGCTACGTAATCTCTATTTTTAAGGTAAAAGCGCCATCTATATCTAGTATCTGTAGTCTTAAAGATTTGAATTCAAGGTAACCGGTTCATGTTCATCATAGGATGTTAGTAACAAGCTTAAAACCAAATGGATATTACACATTTAAACAAAAACTGGAAATTAATAAATTGAACCTTGGTCAAGTCACCATTTATAACGTCTTTTATAAACAACTCGTATTGTGGTGTAGCAAGGTAATGAAAACTTTAATCCTTGCATAAAACGCATGAGAGTGAGATAGAAGATCTTTAATATCACAAAATCATTTAATTACTGGATTGTAATGTCCGTTTGATTTGAGCTTTCATGGATTTTTGGGTCTTCATTATCATTCGTATAACATCGCAGTGAAACAACGACAAGAAGCAGCTGTAATCGGCATATTATTATGCAACTATTATATATTTAGGTTCCTAAATATATAGATAGATTTATGGAACCTTTGTCTGGGCTATGAAGTTATCCAAAGTATATTTTCTTTTATTTTTACCTTAAGGATCTTAACTATTTAATTTTGGCAAGCACATTTCAAATTACATCTATATACTTTTTTATATAATAGGTATATATACATATTATAATAGTTATATCAGGTAATATAAAAATATGTATATATTAATGACATTTTTATTCTTGTTTAGTTGTAATAAGCTAAAAACAAATTTAAAAAAATATTTTCGAAAACCAAATATATATACTAAATGCTTGCCAAGCTATTTTCTATATATAATCTCGTATCACCTTGTTAATTTATTCTCATTTTTCTCCCTCAAACAAAACATTTTTACGCCCTACGCCAAAAACTGTAACTACAAATTTAGTTACAGCAGAAATAAAGACTTCTCGATATCTTTAAATCGAGGTGATACAAGCTTATATGTAATCACTATTAATCTTTGTTCACGTGAACTGTCGCATCTTTATATTGAAAGACGTGCACAGTGAATTTTAATTTAGTTGCGAACGCTTCTATCGAATAGCCTACCGTCCAGCTTGTAAGCAAATACATATACATATCATAATATATATATATATATATATATTATATCATGACCTTGGAGTTGAAATCAAATTAAAAATAAAAAAATAATGACATATCGTTTTGTTTATTAATTTAATACTTTGTAATTATATGTATGTATATTGTATTAATCTCAGATTATATAGATAGAGTGTCTCCATACAAATGCTTCTAGAAAAGCGGATCAACTTTTTCATACAATTTTGCGTGATAAATAGTTACGAGTGATTCCTTTATAACTTCTATATTTATTTTGTCTCGTAATTTCTGCATCTTTTTAATAAGTAAACACTCATTTTATTTATTAAATAATATATCAAGATACATTATGTGTGTAAGTATATAAAACATTAATAAAAAAAACGAGTCAGCTAATTTGACAATTAGCTGTCAAAAAGTTGACCCGTTTTTGAGGCTCTATGCTCTATCTATATAATCTTAGGTATTAATATATCGAACGAAACTGTCAACTGAGTAATATATATTTGCAGTATTATAAAAAAAATAATAGATTATGAAGTAAATATATAAATTTTGGTTGTGATCGATCTGGTAAGTCAATAATTTTATTTTTTTATAACAATTGATCGCACCCAAAAATATAATGACATGTAACCAATACATTTTAGATTGAAACTTTGTCACAATTTAAAATTTATTGATTTTGTATAAAGATTACTTAGATATTATTGTAAGAGTGTATATCTGTATAAAGTAAGTTAAAACCTATTATCGTATGAAATATGTATAAATTGTTATGAATCATTGAAAAGTCTTTGGAATAATAAAGTCTATATAAAGGTATTATTTTGCTTTTTTTTTATACAACTTAGAATGGCAAACAAGCTGACGGCCCACCTGATGGAAAGTGGTAACCGTCGCCTATAGACATGAGCAGTACCATGCATATAACAGAGTATACTGTTTCGCCCATGATACCCCGCATGCATTGCCATTGTTGTTCCTCTATACCCTGTAAATTCACGCCATATCGCATCCTTCAAACCGAAACACAGTCATGCAATTATAACTGCTTCACGGTAGAAACACGAATGGGACAGAGGTGCCCAAGCAAACGACTTTTGTACAAAGTCTCCCTCTTCCCTCTTGCTTTCATTTAAATCAGAATTTAGAATATATACAAGAAAGTAATAAAAAGAGAGGTTTTAGAAGAGAGAGGTGTGCATTTTGGATCAGAGCAGTGACACAGATGGAATATAAATAACGTAATAAACGTAGCGCCATCTGTTATCGCTTTAAGAATAACTCGGCGCACGCCATATTGTATTTCGCTCTCTGATTTCCTCTGTCACTTGCGTCGCATGTCTAGAATATGTATTAGAATAAAATATAAGAAATATTAAAAGTTCTCGTCTATTTTTCCATCCAAACATCTTAACAAAAACCAATAAATAAAACAACAAATATGTATTTTTTAAATTATTTATTAATAAATTTTTAATCATTAAAATTTCAAATGCAATTAAAAACAATAAACAAAAACAGTCACAATTTTTTTTATAATATATTAAATAAATCTAGGCCACATCCTTAAATTATATAGTTTGAGTGTCTCCATATAAATGCTTCGAGAAAAAACGGGTCAACTTTTTCATACAATTTTGCGTGATAAATAGTTACGAGTGATTCCTTTATAACTTCTATATTTATTTTGTCTTACAAATATTGCATCTTTTTAATGCGTAAACACTCATTTTATTTATTAAATAATACGTCAAAATACATTTTATGCGTAAGTATATAGAACACTGATAAAAAAAAAACAAATCAGCTAATTTGACAGTTAGCTGACAAAAAGTTGACTCGTTTTTGAGGCTCGACCGTCAACCGTCGCCTATAGACATGAGCAATACCATGGATATAACAGAGTATACTGATTCGCCCATGATACCCCCCATGCGTTGCTATTCCTGAGGACTTAGGTGTTTTGCTGGGTGAAAATGGTATGGTAACCCCGCCTGCGCTAACGGGATACGCTGGCGGAGCACCAGTGAAGGGTGATAGATGAGAATGAAAACAGGCCAGCTAGCCCATCATCTATTACTAACAATCCCTTTCCCCCCAGGACTCAGGTGTTATTCCTTTATACCCTGTAAATTCACTGCCATATCCCACCCTTTAAACCGAAACACAGCCATGCAGACACAACTGCTTCACGGTAGAAACACTAATGGGACAGAGGTGTCCAAGCAAACGACTTTTGTACTAAGTCTCCCTCTGGTAAATAAATAAGTATAAATAAATGCATACTTATAATTGCTCTATAACCACACCGATCGCCTGCTCCTCATGCTAAGGTACCCTGTGTTATAAGGAACCACGCGACGAACGCCTGGGGGCATTATATTTATTTATTTATGTATTTATTTATTTATTTATAAATTACTCACCACACTAACAGTATCCCAAAATTTTTTAATAACATTTAAAAAATATATCTATTTTGTCATGAAATATATCAATATCTGGCTGCTGAGCAATCAGAGAAATAGCTTGATAAGTGGGAGCAAACTGAGCAGTACAGGTGCGACTTGGCGGTGGCGATATATATTCTATCACAGCCACTATATACAGGAAGAAGAACTGTTAGTGATAATTATCAGGTTCCCCCAGAAACCACCGTGGTTCGTTCTTATGGAATTCACCACGAAGGTATATACAAAGGTCAGCAGTCTCGAGGGAAGCCATAGCTAAGCTGGTCACAATTAGTGCTACGTCTGGTAGACCGTGAGCTTGTTTGCCATTCTAAGTTGCATATAACATATATACTACATTCGCTAGCTGCCATCCAAGCGTCTCTCAATCAGCGTCTTCACATCGTCATACACGCCAAAGAAAACAAATCCGCCGATCATAAATGCGGTCATACGGGGCGTTACACCCGCGAACAGGCCCCGCAGGCCGGACTCTAAATATATACTGGCCAGTACCGGCCTGATGCGCAACTTGCGGGTGACTGCGTACTCCTCGGCCAGCATGATACGGGTCTTGGCCAGATCTAGCGGCGTGGTCACGGCCGCGGCGAAACCACCCGCCACAGAACCGCACAGAGCACTCTGAAATATATGAATAAATTACAAAATTGTATTGTATGTATAAATCAGATATACCAGAGGGAGACTTTGTACAAAAGTCGATTGCTTGGGTACCTCTGTCCTATTCGTGTTTCAACCGTGAAGCAGTTGTGTTTGCATGGCTGTGTTTCGGTTTGAAGGGTGGGATATGGCGTGAATTTACTGGGTACAGAGGAATAACACCTGAGTCCTCAGGAATAGCAACGCATGGGCGGTATCATGGGCGAAACAGTATACTCTGTTATGTCCATGGTACTGCTCATGTCTATAGGCAACGGTTACCACTTTCCATCAGGTGGACCGTCAGCTTGTTTGCCATTCTAAGCCACGGGGAAGGAAGGAGTGGCCCATTCTATGCAGGGATACACACAATATTAGATACAAATTCAAACTTGCTGTTCAGAAGAAAAATTAATCAATTAATTAGTCGGTTAATCAAGCAATCAATCAGTTAATTCATCAATCAATCAATGATGGTACGACCGTGCTCACCTTGGCGAAGGCATGCCGTACATCCTGATACCAATTAATAGGTCGATCAATCAATCGTTCGATCAATCAATCAATCGGTCGATCGATCGATCAATCAATCGGTGGACCAACCAATCAATCAATCGGTCGACCAATCAATCAATCGATCGACCAACCAATCAATAAATAGTTCGATCGATCGATCAATCAATCGGTCGACCAATCAATCAGTCGGTCGACCAATCAATCAATCAGTCGGTCGACCAATCAATCAATCGGTCGACCAACCAATCAATCAATTGTTCGATCAATCGATCAATCAATAGGTCGACCAATCAATCAATCAATCGTTCGATCATTCGATCAATCAATCGGTCGACCAATCAATCAATCGGTCGACCAACCAATCAATCAATCGTTCGATCGATCGATCAATAAATCGGTCGACCAATCAATCGCTCGACCAACCAATCAATCGGTCGACCAACCAATCAATCAATCGGTCGATCAATCAATAATAAATAATTGACGGAAGCATACCGTACCCCCTAATACATTCTTAGAACCCAAGCACAAGCTTATTTTGAAAGCTCTCCACAAACACCACGCCAACGTTTATCAATTACGAATTCTGATAAATGAAAATAGCAAACCTGTAAAGTACTGATTTGTCCATCATTATGCTGCCTGATTGACGACTTCAGCATCTCCCAAACAGGTAGCTCTATGAAGCTGAATGGAAGATCCCTCGCCACTGTCGACATGAACCCCCGGTACAGACCCTTGCGGAAACCCTCCGCTTTATAAGCCTAGAAAAAATAAGTCACTTTAACATTTATACAGGGAGATATAGAAGCCATTTTTTTTAATGGATGATAATGGAATGGTAACCCCGTCTGCGCTAACTGTATACGCTGGCGGGGCACCAGTAAGAGATAATAGGTGAGGATGAAAAAGCAGGACATGAAAAACCACCTGGAATTCAGCACGACGGTTTCCAAGGGACCACCTAGAAGTCGACCTGAGAAGGTATATTGCTGGCAATGGAGCATTACTAACAATCCCCCCCCCCCAAGCTCTTCTATTCACCAACAGTACATACCTCGGGGGAAAGGGATTGTTAGCAGTGAAGACTCATGGCCCCATTGCTAGCAAGCCCTGTCAGGTCGACCTCCACGCGGTTCCCCCTGGAAACCATCGTGATTAATACTTGTTTCGTCACGATGGGCTAACTGACCTGCTTTCCTGCTTTCATGCTCATTCTATCATCCGTCACTGGTACCCAGCCATTGTATACCGATAGCACAGGCGAGGTTACCATTTCATTATCACACATTAAAAAAACAGTACGTACACTGTACCTCTAACAATATAGATATACTGCTGCGTGCCTTGTTGCCTACGTACGTCTGCTTGCGTTGCTTTGCTATTTCTGTGGGCACTCTTATCACACACGCCAACTGCGGAAAACATAAAAATTCAAAATAGAAATTACCTTTATTAAAATACAATTGTTTACAAGCACTTTTAATTCGTCATCTTTTTTTAATTTACTGCATGGTTCGGAAGGCTGTTATCTGTTAAGAAGAGCCCGCAAGAAACTCAAAAGTTAGTTAGTTTACCAGACGGAGACTTCGTACAAAAGTCGTTTGCTTGGCTACCTCTGTCCCATTCGTGTTTCAACCGTGAAGCAGTTGTGTTTGCATGGCTGTGTTTCGGTTTGAAGGGTGGGATATGGCGTGAATTTACAGGGTACAGAGGAATAACATCTGAGCCCTCAACGCATGGGGGGTATCATGGGCGAAACAGTATACTCTGTTATGTCCATGGTACTGCTCATGTCTATAGGCGACGGTTACCACTTTCCATCAGGTGGGCCATCAGCTTGTTTTATAAAAAAAGTTACCATTCTAAGTTATATAAAAAAAAATACTTTTTGAATTATCTGTGTATTTATTTAAATGTACTATGTCTAAAATTACAAGGTCGTTAAAAAACCCATGCATGATCGACTAACACCATACATTTGTCATTCAAGTAATCGTTTAGTGTGTTTGGCTTTATTCAATAAGTCTTTTTTTAATTTAAAATTTAAATATATATTTACGACTATAATTACTAATGGGTGTAACCCCATAAACGAGTCTGACTATCCCATTCATAACAATAGTCATGACCAGAACAACCATCCTCGTGGCCATATCTTAGTAAACATGTCGCATTAGGTTTCGTGCTCGATTCTAGATCGGGCCTAGAAAGAAATGAAAAAAAAAAACAAAACTTATGAATTGTATTCTATAGTCTATGGTTGTCCAAAACTGTAGATTTAAATATGGCGCTTAGATTTTTTAAGGCTTCGCAGACAAGCATGATAGCAGTAGTGGCTAGCTATAATAAGTATTTATTACATCTGTAAAGGTGTATATAGGAAAAAATGGCAGTGGCACTCCGGTAGTGCAGACAGAAGTAAAAACGAGTGAAAACTTGAACAATTACGAATATATTCTTTGAAGCGTCAGAGGTGAAGGTTACGGTAACAATTTTGGAAGTTATATGGTTTTTTACCATGTCAACAAATGCCCAATGCATCTAAAGAAGTTTTTACTTAAAAAAATCGTATTCCTAACAGTTGTCTAGTAGCCAAAGTATAAACTCTGAAAGAAAAAACTGTTTAATTTGGGACTAGAGGAGATTACATAATATGCATGTGGTATTTTTGAAAATAAATTAGTACAGTTTATTTCTATTCTATTCAATAGACCACTCACCACTTCCCCAACGCTGGCTGCCAACATGTTCACGAGTGGTGTATACTGCGTCGGAGCATACGGCTGCACCAACTTCTTGGTTGTCTCGTAAGATACGAAGAAAAGTGAGGTCGTGGGCACCGAACTGGTGGCCACAGTCAGGAGCCCTGTGCAATAAGAATAAATGTATTTTAAAACAAAACAGCATCAATAAATGCTGAGATGTATCAGCATGTATTCAATGTGAATTTCATAGAAATAATTATATAACTGATAAACATATTAATCTGTAAAAGTTTACATACCACGATATACGCCTCTAAAGCCTCCTGCCTTCTGGAAGCCCTGTTCACTTTGCAGACGAGTCTTCAACGTGTCTAATGGATAGAGTGCTACGTCCACAGACAAACCAGCTATAGCACCTCCCTAAAGAACATTCATTGTAAAGAGCATAAGTAATACATCTTATGGTACTTCAGCAGAATAAAATTCTCCAAACTATTAGCAATTTTAACTTTTCTTTATTACAAAGGGTGTTACTTGTTAGTTATTTGAAGAAGAAACATCACATCACTACATGGTGTGAATTTACAGGGTACAGAGGAATAACACCTGAGTCCTCAGGAATGGCAACGCATGAGGGGTGTCATGGGCGAAAGAGTATACTCTGTTATGTCCATGGTACTGCTCATGTCTATAGGCGACGGTTACCATTCTAAGTTGTATAAAAAAAAAACAGTATAAAGTTGCTGTCTGTCCGTCCCTATGTATGCTTAGATTTTTAAAACTATGCAACGGATTTTGAAGCGGTTTTTTTAATAGATAGAGTAATTCAAGAGGAAGGTTTATATGCATAATACATGCATAATATTGTAGAGAAACACTGATAATTTTAAAGGTTTTTAATGTGATGTAATGTAATGTGCACCTGTGCGAAGCCGGGGCTGGTCGCTAGTTACATTATATGATTATTATCAAATAGCAATTCGGCCCAGTTTCACATAAGTATATAGAATATTCCAAAATAATATATAGCCTATATTATTAGCTGATAATGTAGCTTTATATAAGTAAAAGAATATTCAAAATTTGGCCGAGTAGTTTTTGGATTTATCCATTAGAAACAAACAATGAAATTTTCTCTTTATTATATTAATATAGATGAATAAAATTTAATCAAAAAAATATGTAATAAAATAATACAAATATTTTTAATTGAAATAAACTAATCATCTTTATTTCAACTGGTACATATATTAAAATACATATACGAAATAAGTACATATTAATAATAATTATTTAAACGCCAAGTAAAATATATAAAAATTACAATTAATTTTTATTATTTACAAAAAAAAAACCTATAATTAGAAGGGGGTATTTTTGGACCGTTAAAAATATAATTGACGATTACAATTTCCATCAGCTTATTTCCAATTAGTAACATTATAAAAAAAAGTTGCTTTAAATTTAAACCTATCATTTGAACATATTTTTAATAGGAATATAATGTAAGTTTCAGGCTATATATAGGAGGAATATATAGGGTCCTTTATTCATCAGTGGGCAATTAAGAGCTGAAATAATGATGAGGATGATGTAACCTTAAAGCTTTTTAAATTGAATAATTGTATAAAATATTGAGTTAATACTTACCAGTAAAGGTGCCAAATAGGTAGACTTTAATGTTCTGTGTTTATCTGCAGATTCCATTATGATTTTATTTTATAAATATGAATTTTAAATAGAATTTTCATACTCTTGTAACTGTTCAATAAATACACGTATTCTGGGGGAGACAGAAATTAAAATCGAATTTAATTTTTTGAAAGCTATTGGAAGAGTCAATTACGATTAGTATAAAAATTAATATCATAAGCAAAAAAAAAATTAATTTGTTAATTTAATTTCAAAATCGTAAAACTACAAAAACTGTTTCGTATCCTCAACATGTGAGTTTGACAAATGACAATTTTGACATTATATAACAAGACCATTGACATTGACAACAAACGCGACATTTAAAAAAAAAAACACGGATGTCTTAATTTTTAAAGCGATCTTGGGCACAGATATTATCTAATACACAGCTTCAATTAAAATCATTTATTCATTGAAATTGTATTCATAATAATAAACCATATTCATTCTAATTACCTAGTTATTATAATATTAAACAATGGATAGCAACCATGCAATCCAATGCACTTTCTCTAAATATAGTAGTATTCTGATATGATACAGACGTACCACTAAAAAATAGTGGATTATTCAAAATCTTATAGCGTCATACATAACTATTGTAATTTAAATCATATTAATTTCATATACCTAAATGAAATTACATCTTTAAATATAAAAATGCGTAACTAAGCAACCGTTAACAGTGGGCAGGTATCTATCGTCATATAGACTATTAGATTTTATTTGTTAAAGCAGACTTTTTATTAATTTTTACTTAATTTATAATGCCAAAAGTCCCACCAGTGAAGAATCCTCATGACGGCATTCCTTATCACAGTGTGCGGCAGGGCAGCGACCCTGGATGCTATCAACTGCACAGGTGGGTAGTAAAAAGTATTATTGTCATAAATTAATATTCACCAGTATTGCAGACGTTCATAGGCTACAGTAACTGTTTACCATCAGGTGGGCCGTTTGCTTGTTTGCCACCTTAATGGTATTAAAAAATAAACAATAATTTTCTATATAAAATGTAAAAAACGACCCAGATTAACACAAACAAACCTACTCACGATGTTTGTAGGTAGTGTGCGGGGATCGAAGCGGCGACCATAGTAAGTTGAGGCGTAATTTGAACAGCTTAATCACCCCTCAGAGAGTCTCCTATTCCCTTCAACTCTCCTCCCCTCCATCACGATTCAAATTGGAGTTATTCTGAAACTATATCAGCCTATCCCAAAGTGGGTGATAACGCCCCCTTGTAGCGCTGCAGGCCTAAAGAGGGCGGTAAGAGACCCAAAAAAAATGGGGGCGTTGTGTAGAGGCTTGGGGGGTGATTTGTTGATCTTGAAATAATAGTGGTTTTAAGGAGGTGGTGATTGCTTTGCTGTTCTTAAGTGAATTAATAAGTAGCATTGTTTAGTTATAACAGTAGATAACTTGTTTAGATATTATAGGATTGCCATTTTAAAAATAAAAAATACCAAATTAAACAGAGATTAAAAAAAGGTAGGTGTGAAAAAATGGGGGCGCTAAAAATAATTTATTCTCAAAGTGGGCAGTAAACAAAATTAGTTTGGGAACCCCTGTTCTATATTGTATAATGCAAGTATACTCATTCATTGATACTTTTAACAGACCATCGCAATGCCGTCTCAAGTTCCCCATAACGAAGCGACCAATACACAAATGCGAGCTACCGAAACGGGAGCACACCATGGTACCGCAAAATGGCGGCTGGCGGAGCCTCCTCGTGCCGAAGGCCAAACCTAACTTCTATCCAGCTGTTATGCACAAGAAGGAATATGAGAAGCTCAAAGAACGAGCCAAGGTAAACTCTTAAACTTAATTTTAAGTGAAATACAGTTTTTTTTTGTGGGAAGATAATGGTATGGTAACCCCGCCTGCGCTATCGGTATACACTGACAGGACACAGGTGAGGGATGATATGTGAGAATGAAAAGGCAGGTCAGTTAGCATATCGTGATGAATACACCTGGAATTCAGCACGATGGTTTCCAGGAGAGACATGAAGGTCGACCTGACAGGGTACACGACTGCTTGGGAGAAAAAACTAACAATCTCATGTCAGTAATAAAGTTCTAACCACCCCATAGCAGGGGAGAAAAGGATTGTTAGTAATGAGGTCTAACAGCCCCATTGCTAGCAATATACCCTTGCAGGTCGCGGTTCCCTCTCGAAACCGTCATGGTTAATTCTTGTCGAATTCATCATTGTGGACCAACTGGCCAAGATTCATTCTCACCTATCATCTTCCACTGGTGCCCCGCCAGTGTATACCGATAGCGCGGGCGGGATACCATTCCATTGTCACCTATTAAAAAAACCACACTATAACTAATAATTATTATGATTAATTCTTTATATTATCTGTGGTTGTGGTATGCCAATAGAAGTGTACCTCGCGTATCATCACATTGGTGTCTGCTAGTTTATACCAACAGCGTAGGCGAGGTTACCATTCCATTTGCACCCCTTAAAAAAAGCTGCCTCACGCGTAAACATTAATCGAGCAGAGGTAGACTCAAGCATGATGTCTCGCTGATCTGGTGACTAAAATATCATATTTTCTAGATTGTAACCCAAGAGGAACAACTCCAAGCCATGCATGCGCAAGAAGCAGCTATACAAAAGGCGGCGAAGGAATCCGAGGCGAGAAAGAAGATGTTAAAGGAGAAACTTCTGCCCCAGCCCGGCGCTGAAACTGCGACTGGCACCGCAGACCCCGAGCTCGAGGGGCCTGATCAGACGGCGCACACCCTTTCACGAGCTGAAAGTATGCCTCACACACACATTTTTAGTATAGGCTGTAATTTTCTTGACGATTCCATTTACGTCATATTTTACTTGGTATTGGTCTCTCTATGGTGTAGGTAACTATTATCACCTTTAAAAACAATACAAGAGTTGTACTATTTCTATAGGTTTTTATTCAACCAGATACCTAGGTATATTATATAACCTAACCGATTCAATAGGGGAGAAGGGAAACCGTTGTGCTGACAATTCCATAGGAGGAAACAATGCCCCTCCACTAGATAAAGTGATGACCTCAAATACATTGCTGAGAAACAGTCGATGCAGGTGGCTTAAGACCGTTCCTTTTGGCAGTCTATGGTTAGTAATGGACATATAATGGCTGAAATGATGATGATGTGAAGAATAGATTCGAGTGTTGACATCGTACGCACAGGTGATACCCATTATAGCAGAATTAAACTTAAATAAACTAAACCAACTAACCAGTGATACGAACTTCCACAAAATAACACCTAGTTCAATGCAGAATATTTAACTAAATAGTTAATTAGCAGAAATCTATATTGTAAATGATGGTTGACGCTCCGTTTTATCTATTGTTCAGTGCTGCGCGCTGACAACATGCAGGGTCCTCGCCTTTGCAACCGCATCATCCTAGCGTCCAAGTGCCACGCCATACGGGACGCTCAGATAGCTGAAAAGGAACTTATCAAGAAGGAACTCGACGAAGAGGAGAAAAGGTGACCATCATGTTACTTTTATTTAATTATTTTTACACTGCTTCTTCTTTATGGTTATTTTTTTTTATACAACTTAGAATGGCAAACAAGCTGACGGCCCACCTGATGGAAAGTGGTAACGGTCGCCTATAGACATGAGCAGTACCATAAACATAATAGAGTATACTGTTTCGCCCATGATACCCCCCATGCGTTGCCATTCCTGAGGGCTGAGGTGTTATTCTTCTGTACCCTGTAAATTCACGCCATATCCCACCCTTCAAACCGAAACACAGCCATGCAAACACAACTGCTTCACGGTAGAAACACGAATGGGACAGAGTACCCAAGCAATCGACTTTTGTACAGTCTCCCTCTGGCCAGTCAGTCTCTTGCCAGTTTTAAAAGACGTCTCGTTCAAAATCAAAATAGAACAGCATTGCTTTTTATATCATCATCATCATCCTTTCAGCCGTTAACTGTCCACTGCTGAACAAGCCTTCTCCATAAGGGGTGTTTTGCCAGTACTTACCACGCTGTGCAAGCGGCTTGCCAACCGCAGTTAGGCTTTTGGAAATGTTTTAAGAGGAACGCTGCTGCCTATTCCTCTACCGTTATGTTCCTTTAGTAGCCCTTTAGGACGGAAACCGGGAACCCAAGAGGAAGGAAGAAGTGGCCTATTCTATATTGGTAAATTTTATAACACTGCTCATATCAGATTGGACGCGATAATGGAAGAGAATCGCGCATCGGCGGTGCATCGGGCTGAAAGTGAAGAAGAGCGTAGACACAACCTCCGGCTGCAGAACCTCGCCGCACTCAAAGAACAGATAAAGGCACATGAAACTGCTAAGGTAAATAGCCACCAAAGAGAAAAAAACTACTGTTTCCCCCTCTGGTAGATATTGTAAGTGAAGAATATTTTAATGCATATACCAGAGGGAGACTTTGTACAAAAGTAGTTTGCTTGAGCACCTCTGTCTCATTCGTATTTCTACCGTGAACCAGTTGTGTTTGCAGGGCTGTGTTTTAATTTGATAGGTGGGATATGGCATTGAATTTACAGGGCACAGAGGAATGCCACCTAAGTCCTCAGGAATGGCAACGCATGGGGGGTATCATGGGCGAAACAGTATACTCTGTCATATCCATGGTACTCTATAGGCGACGGCTATAGGCTCATGTCTATAGGCGACGGTTACCACTTTCCATCAGGTGGGGCGTCAGCTTGTTTGCCATTCTAAGTTGCATAAAAAAAATATGACTTTTTCCAGATAATGGAAGCAGAACGTATCGAAGAAGAGAGTATCCGAGTGAACCAAGCCAACATAGCGATGCAGATTGACGAGGCGCAAAAGTTGAAGGAGAAACAGGGAAGGCAGGCCAAACTCAAGGAGATACTTGACCAGGGTAAGACATCTGACTACAAAATAATACTTGGTAAATTAAAGATTGGCTTGAATAATAAATTAGATCCAGAGTCCATTTTCAAAATTAATTTCCAAAAATTCTTAATTGAGAGGCAAAAGTTAGACATTCCAGCAAGTTACCTCTATGTTCCATTTGTCTGCTAGATAGACTGTCATATCTGTCTGTTTACCGTATATCTATCTTTTTATTGTACGGATAATCTGGTAGTGTTGTTTTATTGTTACCCTATTCCCTTTGGCCGCAACAGAATATCAGTGCTTTGCTCTTTTGAGGGCGAAACAATAAACTGAGTTGTGGTGTGTGTATGTGTGCGGTATTGCTATGGCACACTCACAAACGAAAATTGTATTTAGCTTTGTGTATTTTTTTATCATTTATGTTATCTCGCTTTTTTTTGCATATATATGTTGTAATTTGTGTGTTGTAAGTTGTGTGTTATATTAATTTCTATCGGGTTTTTCATTTTGACAATAAATATTGGATAACAGACATTTATCATCGTCGTATTTGGGCCGGTATATATATATATATATATATATATATACATACTGTAACTAAAATATATAGATATTATTAACCCCTAATCCACATTTTTTTACATAACGAAGTTCTCGATTCGATTCTCGGTCGGGCCGATTTTAGGAAATGATCTTTCCTAAATTCTGCGCGTGTCTGGATGTTCTGGGTGCCGCCAAATATTGGCTACCTATTTCCATATAACACAAAATATCTTAACTTTAGAAGCAGGCAATTAATGTGATTTATCGTCATCTTCATATCAGCCATTACCTGTCCACTACTCAACATAGCCTTCCACCATAAGGAGTGGTTGGGGGCTTTGCTACTAGTGGCCACGCTTGGCAGGCGGGTTAACAACTACAAATATAGGCTTTGAAAATGTTTAAAGAAAAACACTGCTGTCAATGTCTCGACCATTAAGTTCTCTTAGTCGCCTCTTACTACACTCACGGGAAAAGAAGGGGTAGCCTACTGTGGCCAGGACCACACGGAAATCACATGGGTTTACAATTGAGATAAGAGATTAGGTGTCTATTGTTTAACTTTGTTTTATTGCTTATAAAGCAAAAAAAAAAACAAAAGCCGGGACCACACGACAAGTAATAAATGTTATTTTGTTTATTCATTATTTCCGAATAAGAAGCAAACCTGAATCTAATTTATTGCTTTAACAAATCATCTTCGAACCTTTCTATCCCAGGCAACACTGAACTACTATATTATAAACAACTTCAAAACGAAGAAGAAAGAATTATGGATCTTCGTATCGCAAATTTCCTGAAGCAAAAACAGGAACGGGAGATGAAGGCCAGGGCTGAGGCTGAAGCTATTAAAACAGCTAAGCAAAAGGGGATTGATCACATTGCTAAAGCACAAAAGGTAAGTATAACCAATTAAATAGCGGAACGTCAATAAATCGATAAATAACCTTAACTACCTTATCTGAGCGTACAGTTCATCATCATCATATCAGACTTTAACTGTCCACGGCTGAACATAAGCCTCCCCTTGAGGGGTTTTGCCAGTAGTTCGTTTCGCCACGCTTAGCAGGCGGAGCGGCAACCGCAGTTAGGCTTTGAAGATGTTTTAAGAGAAACGCTGCTGCCAATCTCTCGCCCTCCCGTAGTCGGCACTTACGACACCCACGGGAAAGGAAGGGGTGGCCTATTCTGGCCAGGACCACATGGAAACCACACGGGTTTACAATTGAGATAAGTGATTAGGTGTATATTGTTTAAATTTGTTTTATTACTTATAAAGCAAAAAAAAAAACAAAAGGGGACTTTCTAGACAAGGGTGTTCAGGTTTTGTGCCATAAGAATAAGGGTTTTTGTGTTGTATAATGTACTCAAATATGTTTATATTTATGATTTCCATCGATAATCGAGGGTTGCCTATAAAGATCTATATTATTCAGTAGTATAACTTATGAAATTCATGATTTTTGGCCACATAACCTGTGACTATTTTTTACAGGCAGAACAAGAGTTGAAGGAGGAACTGGAACGAATACGCAACTTAAAGATCCAGGAGGACGTGGAACGAGAGTACCGGCGGCGGGAAAGGGAGGCTGCCATCAAGAGGAATAAGGAGATGAAACAGCTCCATGAAGCCAGAGTCCAGCAGGTATCTGGAAAACACTTATATCCAAGTTTTACTAGAGGAGGACTTTGTACATAGGTCGTCATGATTACTTATATTCCATTCGTATTTCTGCCTTAAAGCAGCTGTTTTCATGACTGTGTTTCAGTTTCAAGGTGCTATATTCTATACGGAATTTCAGTTTCAAGGATAGGATATGGCAATTTAATTGCCTTCATATAAGACAAGGCATAACACGACAAGGAGACTTTGTAAAGTTGTTTGCTTGGATACCTCTGTCCAATTCGTGTTTCTACCGTGAATCAGTTGTGTTTGCATAGCATAGTTTCAGTTTGAAGGGTGGGATATGGCTGTGATTTTACTGGGTACAGAGGAATAACATCTGAGTCCTCAGGAATGGCAACGCATGGGGGGTATCATGGATGGAACCGTATACTTTGTTATGTTCATGGTACTGCTCATGTCTATAGGCGACGGTTACTAATGGATGATAATGTAATGGTAACCCCGCCTGCTCTATCGGTGTACGCTGGCGAGGCACTAGTGACAGATGATAGGTGAAGATGAAATAGGTCAGTTGGCTCTTCGTGTCGAGTTCAATAATAAATCAATTACGATGGTTATCAGGGGGAATCGCGAGGAGGTTAACTTGATAGAATATATTGCTAGTTATGAGGCAATTTGGCCCCATTAGTAACAATCCCTCCCCCCCCCCTCCCATATCTGACGGTTACCACTTTCCATCTGGTGGGGCGTCAGCTTGTTTGCCATTCTAAGTTGCATAAAAAACACTATAATCCTCAAGAATGGCAACGGGTATCACAGTGTATTTTATTATATATGCCTATAAATGACGATTATAATTTTCGATCAGGAGATTCGTCGGTCTGTTTGTAATTTTAAATATCATAATCAAAGTTCAAAATATTTCAGCCGCACTTTAATAGATAAAAAAGTTTGAATAAATATTGTCTCATGACGGGATATATCTCAAATAATAACTTAGAGATCTACTTACAGATCAAGGATATACATCGTCTGATAGCGCGGGAAATCGCCAAAGATGAGCAAAGCTTCAACAATGCGGCGCGACAAAACGAAGAGTTTATCCAAAGAGAGAAGGCTGTAAGTAGTTTTGTATGTGTATCTGTGAGGAATTTAAGCAGGTGATTTACCAGGGTGAAAGACTGTACAGAGAACCGGAGAAAGTCTGCTAGGACCTCTGGGCCTCTCCTTTCTGTCGTGGAACTTCCTAGTTTTCATCACCTGAAACACAGTTCAGGTAGAAGGCCAAAAGATGGGTGACATGGAATATGGCAGTATTATATGGTTCAGAAACCTTCCTCATCATATCAGCCGTTAATTGTTCACCGCTGAACATAGGCCGTCCCCAAAAGAACAGGTTTACTAGTGATTTCCATGATTGGCAGTAGAGTTAACAATCGCAGTTAAGTTTTGGTGATGTTTTAAAAGGGACGCTGCTGGTCATCCCTCATTTTGGTATGTTGTTTGTATGTATATATTTAAAAGGTTGGCCAAAAAAGGGGTAAGACAACTTATGGGGCCTTGACCTCTACATGGTTCAGACAACAGCGGTAGTTACTGATTTTAAATTGTAATTTTTTTTTACAGTTACAAGACAAACGTAAAGCTCTTATTGAACAACATCGACAAGAGATTATGAAGCAGATCAACGATAAGGAGCGTGCTAGGTGTGTATTTAAAATTTCTGTTCCATTCGTGTTTCAACCGTGAAGCAGTTGTGTTTGCATGGCTGTGTTTCGATTTGAAGGGTGGGATATGGTGTGAATTTACAGGGTACAGAGAAATAACACCTGAGTCCTCAGGAATGGCAACGCATGGGGGGTATCACACACACATATCGCGATTATGTCCACGGTACTGCTCATGTCTATAGACGACGGTTACCACTTTCCATCAGGTGGGCCGTCAGCTTGTTTGCCATTCTAAGTAGTATAAAAAAAACTTATTTATTGGTGTACTTCTTAGGGCGGAGTTGAGAGAGAAGATACACAACGAAGGCGTGGCGCTACGCCTGGAGCAAGAGCAGCAGGACAAGTACGAGAGGAAGGTCATCAAGCAGAAGGTAAGCATCGTGTTCAAATGTGTGGCACTTGTTGATGATGTGAGTAAGCCGCCATCCGATAGAGCGGGCTATGTTACCATCTCGTCTCGCCCATTACAAAAAAAAGTACCCAGAGTTTTCACGCCAATGTAATTTCAGCCTTATGACGCAGTGAATAAATCACTTTACCTTTAAACTTGACCTTTAAAAGTCTGATTTTTTAAATCAAATTAAAAAATATATAAGTGTACCCTTTACTGTGTCTACTAATGGGGAAAAATAGTAAAAGAAATCAATACGATATTTTTATATATTTATTTTGAAAAAACATTTGGTATCATTTTTGATACTTTAGGCATTATGGTAATAAAAATAGCTAAATTTATTTAACAATGAAACAATGCAAAGGCCAGTATCAAATTTGAAACTTCAGGTATTTAATGATTAATCTCGCTGCTTACTCTGTTTGTGTCATAGATTGATATTTGCTCTTCTATTACCTACAGTTACTTGTTTCATATAGTAATATTTATATCTATTTATTTATGTATGTATTCCCAAAGAGGGTTGACGTCAGACAGGCGGCCGGTCGTAAAACTATAAGACAAATCTTTTTGTACTATGGATAAAAACCATATATATTTTTTAATGTGTCATAATGGAATGGTAACCCCGCCCGTGCTATCGGTATACACCGGCGGGGCGCCAGTGAAGGATGATAGGTGAGGATGAAGCAGATCAATTAGCCCATCGTGACGAATTCAACAAAAATTGTTCACAATGGTTTCCAGGGAGAATCACGTGGAGATCGACCTGATATAGTGTATCGACCTCCACGTGGTTCCCCCTGGAAACCATCGTGAACAATTCTTGTTAAATTCGTCACGATGGGCTAACTGACCTGCTTCATCCTCACCTATCATCCTTCACTGGTGCCCCGCCGGTGTATACCGATAGCGCGGGTGGGGTTACCATTCCATTATCACCCATAAAAAAACTAGAATATAATATCGTCTTTATATGGAGATAGGCCCGTGTACAATAGAGAAATGACAGGGGGGAAAGGGATTGTTAGTAATGGAGACTGAGAATCCCATTGCTAGCAATATACCCAACCAGGTCGACATCCTCGCGGTTCTCCCTGGAAACTATCGTGGTTAATTCCTAATGAATTCATCATGATGGGCTAACTGGCCTGTTTTCATTCCCATCTATCACCCTTCACTGGTGCTACGCCAGCGTATCCCGTTAGCGCGGACGGGGTTACCATACCATTTTCAGCCATAAAAAAAAAATAGAGAAATAACAAAGGATTGTTTAGATAAATAATATATTAATTACATTTCAGGTGGCGGCTATGCGACAACAAAAAATCTCCGAGAAATATGTCAAAGAAGTAGAGCAGACACTAGGAAAACATGGGTATTAGGGGAAAGGTTTTTATACGTGTGTGTGTTTTTTGTAGTTTGTTTACACTTATGCAAGTTGGTGAGCACTAGTACCAGGGTAGCAGATAGTGCGGGAGAAATATTAACTACATATATACAGGTGAAATCGAAGTTATTAGCAGGAGAAAAAGTAAGTTTTTTTTTTTTCTCAAATGAATATGAATCAAAAAACGAAAAAAATTGATACTGTAACAATAATACGGCGAGTAGGTACATCCAATACCCATTCTAGAATTTACTGGTGTACCTACATATCCGCCCCAAGATGTGAATAAAACAAAAGGAAAGAATGAAATATTTTATTCAAGTAAATTTATATTAAAGTGTTTTTGAATAGTCTTATTTCACATTACCACCCATTGGACCGAATTACAGCCAATAAAAATAGACAAGAAACTCAGCTGTTGCTTTTTTTTTTTTTTCAAAAAACTCGCGCGGTCTTTCGCCCGCGTACCAACTCCAAAAAAAAAAAAAGAATTTGTATGAATACAAACTACCAAGAAAAAAAAAGGCGGGAAACTCGAATAAGAACAAGCGGGTTTTTTAATTTTTTTTTATTAATTTATTAAAACTATCTCTATCAATTCTTATTATTGAATAAAATATTATATTTTCACTAAATTCAGCGACAGTAATATAATTAGCATTCATGGGGAAGCGCAGTTGTAGAAAAAGGAAAAAAAAAGATGACGATTCAGGTGATGTAGACCATGAACCTTGTAATGACAAGGATATATATTCGGAAGATACTTCTACTGACTCAGAATCTGAAATTGATAAGGCCGATAAGTATAAACCTTACTACGTCACAGATTATATTAGAAGATATCCCGAGGAATCCCCTGGGACAGAATTTGTTGTCTTTGTAGAATCCTCAGATAGTCAGAAAACCATTGGATCCAGAGACTTGCTCTCACTCTCCTCCTGTTTAAAACGATTTAATAAAGGGGTAACTTATCTTAGATCTATAAATAAATTCAAAATCGGAGTATACTTTCAAAAGCCAGACTTAGCCAATGCTTTTTTAAATAATAAAACTTTTTTAAATGACTACCATTTTAAGGCCAGTATTCCTGCTTCTTCAACAGAAGTTACAGGCGTTATTAGAAATGTACCTACAAATATATCTAATAAAAAAATATATACTATGATATCGAGTTCTAAGAAAATTATTGCTATTAAAAGAATTTTAAGAAAAAATACCTTGACTCATGGATATGTGTTACAGCCAACTCTAACCGTGACAATTACTTTTGCTGCATCTGTATTACCTGAATATCTGGATATTGGAGGTTGGCGCCACAATGTCACTCCATATATACCACCAGTTAAACAATGCTACCGGTGCTTGAGGTATGGACATTTAGCTAAATTCTGTAAGAATTCTGAGCGTTGCAGCATCTGCAAAGGTGAGCATAATTATAAAACTTGTACAACTGGAATGGAAAACGCTATTTGTGTACACTGCAATGGAAATCACACAAGTGTATCACCGCAATGCCCTGTTAAACAAAAGAAAATTGCTGAAAATAGATCTAAATTCAGACCTGCTTCTTTTGGAGATATACTTAGCACTGAAATATTTCCTAAACTGGGTAACAAACCTAAAAAAAATGTAGACCTAATTTCAATTCTAAATTCTGATAACAAGAGTTTATCACTTTTAATAGAAAGCATAATCAAACTTATTTCACTACATAACACAAAGAACACATCTATTAACACTAAAAGTGTTTTGAATGTGTTATATGATACTTTTGGTAATAGACCTATTTCACAAAATTCAATCGAGACCAATTAACTATCATACAGTGGAACGCTCAGAGCCTACTGAGCAATCGACATATTTTTACACAATTTTTAAATGAACATCATATTCACATTGCTCTCATCTCAGAAACTTGGCTAAAACCACATTACAAATTAAAAATTAAAGATTATTGTATAGAACGAAATGATTGTGGTAATAACCACAATGGAGTAGCGATTATTATACATAATAGTATTAGATATAAAAAACTTCACTCTTTTTTCGACAATTCTTTGCAAACTATAGCTATTAGTATTGAAGTTAATAATTCTTGGTATTCAGTTGCCAGTATTTACTGTCCTACCAATAGTACACCTAGTTTTACTAAAGCCAAATTTAAGTTCTTTTTGGAGTCTCTTCCTAAACCCACTATCATATCTGGAGATTTAAATGCACATCATACTATGTGGGGTTGTACCTCCACTAATACAAGAGGTAAAGACATTCTTGATTGTTTAGATGAATGTAATTTGGTACTATTAAATGATAAGCAAGTTACTACTGTTGGCTCTCATATTTGGAGACCCAATGGCCTTGATTTAACTATGGTATCCCCATCCATATCATTAAAATGCGAGTGGTCGGTTCATGATGATCCGTTAGGAAGTTATCACCTGCCGACTTTTACTAAAATAAACACAAAGAACTCTTCATCAACTCCGTCAGGTGAACAACATGCTCCTATAGATGAAGTTAATAAACTTTTGTTAAATCGTATAAACCTACGTCTCGTTAATTGGGATCTTTATTCTGAAACTGTTAATCAATTACTTTTGGATTTCGAGTATGATGTCAATGAACCCTTAAACAATTACAATAGGTTCTGTAAAATTATTTTGACAGCTGTGGAACGTTCCGTTCCACGTAGGAACTTATCAAATAGCGGTGCAAATACTTCAAAGAGGCACAAACATATTGCAGTACCTTGGTGGAATAACAGGTGTGCGACAGCTGTCAATGATAGTAAAGCGGCTTATCTTAGGTTTAAACAAAATCCAACTCTCGATAATTACATAAATTTTAAAAGAGTTCAAGCTGTTAAAAAGTTAGTAATTAAGCAAGTAAGACAACAGGGGTGGCAGGAATTTTGTTCCAAATTTAATAGATTAACACCAATTTCCACTGTTTGGCAAAATATGAGAAAACTAAATTCAAAACATCGTCAAAATCATTTTAAAGATATATTATGGGTCAATGATTTTTTACGCAAATATACTCCTGATTTTGTACACTCACCTTTTGATGACAAACAGTTTAATTCTGTTAATTCATGCCCAAAATTTCTCACTGACCCATTCTCAATTGATGAAATATCCAGTGCAGTAAAATCTAGAAAAGATACAGCTAGTGGCCTTGATCGCTTAACATACAATATGTTTCGATTGCTGAATAAAATAAACCTTACTAAACTCTTACAAATTTTTAACGATTTATGGAAGGACTGTATTATCCCACCAGAATGGAAAATGGATTGTTTGATTCCAGTAATTAAACCCGGTAAAGATCCTACAAATTTCGACTCCTATAGACCTATAACATTGACGTCCTGTGCAGGCAAATTATTCGAACAATTAATTAAACAGCGTTTAGAGTTCTTTATTGAAAGTAATAGTATATTACCATCGAATCAATTTGGTTTTCGCCGTGGATATTCAGCGCGCGAAAGTTTAGCGAACTTCTATGTCGACCTTAGTACTGCTTTGAATAACGATGAATATGTTCTATCTGTTTTTTTAGATGTCGTAGGAGCTTTTAACAATGTAAATTTAACAGTTCTATCTTCGATTTTATCCTCATTTCTTCCAATGAAACTTATCGAATGGATTTATAATTTTCTTAGTAATAGAGAAGTGTATGTTAAAGTAAATAGTAAATTAATAGGACCTAGGTTAAGCTCTAAAGGAGTATGTCAAGGTGGTATTCTAAGCCCGCTACTATATATTTTATATATCTATAAACTTAATTCAATTTTAGGAAACAGTGTGAACAACTTGCAATTTGCCGATGATTTATTAATTTATATAAAAGGAAAGAATATTATTGATATGCAATTAGTGTTAAATGAGTCATTAAAAAGACTTGAGAAATATTTTTCTCTTCTTTCCCTCGATATTAGTTTAACCAAAAGTAAAGTAGTTGTTTTTCATCAAGTTCATAAATATGTTCCATTAATGAATATTATATATAATAATCAAACTCTTCCAACAGACTGTAGCGTTAAATTTCTGGGGGTAATTTTTCATCAAAATTTAAAATGGGATCTATACGTTGATTGCTTAGTAGATCGTGCTTTAAGAGCCACTAATATAATAAGATCTGTAATTGGTCGTAACTGGGGAGCTGATCCTAAAATTATCCTTTTACTTTACAAATCTCTTGTTAGAAGTAATTTTGATTACGCTTTCTTTTGTTATGCCTCAGAACATAAATTAGTAGAAAAACTCGAAAAAATTCAAAATATGAATTTAAGACTTATTTTAGGTGCTATGTATACTTCTCCAATTATCTCAATGCAAGTAGAATGTAATTTGCCTCCTATCCTTCTTCGTTTCGAATACCTAAAACTCAATTTTCTCTTCAAAGTTTTTTCAGTTTCCAATAACCCACTCATACTCAAATTATTAAATTGCCCCATTTCTATGTTTTTGAATAAAACTATTGTCAATGATTTGAATTTACGAGATGAATATAACATCTATAGTAGTAAGATACTTCCTTGTTATAATGGCCTTTATGAGAGTAAGTTCTGTAAGATCAAAATTGTTATACGTAAAGACATAAAAGAAAAGCATTATGTATGAGACTTTATCAGAATTTATTGACTACAGGCAGATATATACAGATGGTTCCAAAAATGCACTTAGCACTTCAGTGGCTTTTTACGATTTGTCAAATAGATTTGGTCACGGTTATAAAATTTCAACTTTGGCTAGTATTTACACAGCAGAAGCAAAAGCTATATTTTTAGCATTAGAATACATAGAAAAACAGGTACTATATTCGTGGATTATAATTACAGATAGTATGAGTGTTCTTATGGCATTAAAAAATAACACATTCATTTCATCATCAAACTACTTAATTCAAGAAATTCGTAATAAATATTATCATCTCTGTACTATATATGGAAAAGATATTATCTTCATCTGGACCCCTTCACATATTGGAGTGTTTGGGAATGAACAAGTAGACACTTTGGCTAAAATTATTAATTCAAATGCTGCTCGTGTTCAAGATTTACCCCTTTGTTACTCAGATTGTAGTATTGGAATACATAAAATCGTTACAACTAAATGGGAGGAGCATTGGACTCAAATATTACAGACTAAAGGCAAATGGTACCGCAAAATTAATTGGCGTATTGGAAAACCGTGGTTCTGCAAAGGAAAGGACACAAACAGAAAATTTTACACCAATATTTGTAGATTACGAATCGGCCACGGACATTTCAACGAACACCTGCACCGAATGGGCATGATCGCTTCCCCATCATGCACATGGTGTAACTCAAATACAGCCCAATCTCTACATCACCTTTTTTTTGATTGCTCTGAATTTGTCATTCAAAGACACATTATGTTTGACGAACTTAGGATTATCTTCAAAAAACCCGAAAATATCCCGCACTCAATCCCGCTTCTCTTAAGATTTCCTTCTTGTTTCAAAGCTATTTTCACTTATATTACTACAACATTCAAGGAGCTATAAGAATACTTTTATTGAATTGCAAGACAATGATTTTTTATAATTATTTATTTTTAATTTGATAAATCCACTGGTTTAAGAAAACTCAAGAAAAGATATTTATGAAAATGTACTTACCGGATTTGACAAATGAAATATTGAAGATTATGACAATAATTGAAGCAACATTAGAAAAATAAAATTCCAGACAAATTATCTTTTTGAAGACTAGGCAGCATGGTCTCCGACCTTAGCCTGTTCCAAACGGAACAAACGTACTAAAAAAAAAAAAAACAAACTACCAAACAATATCAGATCGTAAAATTTAATATTTAAAAATTTAAACACACCGATTAAGTAAATCGATTGCAGTGACGAAAGAAATTATTCGACAAAAGAATATTTAAATGCCAAAATAAGTAGCTACGTTATATTTTTTTTTATATACAGTATTTTTTTAATTTTTGATTCTCGAAATTTCTGTTATAATGTTGTTACATAGCATGATTAAATCATTTGTTTTACTTAACGCTAATGGCTTCGATTTTCCTTTATAGTATTTATTTATAAAGAACATATTTCAATAAGCAACCAAAATACTTTATTTCTTCCGAATATCTCTCGTTAATAAAATTGGTATATTCAAGACTAATGTAGATATACTTAGGCTGCCTACTGTGCTTGTTTTTACAAGGATTTTTTAATTAACAAGGATTCTATTTCTACAAACGCTAAATCAATGTCACTTATGCCAGAGAAAAAGCTAGCTAGTCTACAGGGAATTTATCCTCACACGCCTAACCTAAATGGTCACTTACAGTGCTGTTTTAAAGGAATTTTCTCCCGCGAACGCTCAGGCTGAATGAGCTCCCTGCCGAGGTTCTCCCTAGAGATGTAGTGTAGGTATAGGGTTCTTCAAAAACCGTGACACCCCTGGTGTTGCAGGCGTCCATAGGCTACAGTAACCGTTTGTCATTAGACAGGCTGTATGCATATTTGCTACCTTCGTGGTATAAAAAAAATATAGGAGGATCTTTTAACATTTATAGAAATACCTAATTGAACAGTGTACCCAATTTTTTTATACAACTTAGAATAGCAAACAAGCTGACGGCCCACCTGATGGAAAGTGGTAACCGTCACCTATAGACATGAGCAATACCATGGACATAATAGAGTATACTGTTTCGCCCATGATACTCCCCATGCACTGCCATTCCTGAGGACTCGGGTGTTATTCACTGCCATATCTCGCCCTTCAAAGCGAAACATAGCCATGCAAACACAACTGATTCACGATGGAAACCCGAATGGAACAGAGGTACCCACGCAAACGACTTTTGTACAAAGTCTCCCTCTGGTGAAGATATAGATTAATCAATACTGTAATAAATATACTCAAATTTTGTTGATTTGTGAAAACATGATATTAGGAGATAAAAGTTTGGTCATTATAGCAAGCAATAGAATGCTATTTTGGATGTGTCAATAAAAAACTATATACTCGTGTGTATTTTAATTCTATAACAGAATTCTAGCTACAGCCCATTACTTGACCTGTTTAATTTAGGATAAGCCTGTTGTCATACATGGCAGCATCATCATTAGCTGTTGACTTTTTTTTTAATGCATGATAATGGAATAGCAACCCTGCCTGCGCTAATGGTATGCACATGCGAGGCACTAGTGAGAGATGATAAGCGAGGATGCAAGCAGGTCAGTTGGCTTCCAGGTTTTCAGGGAAAACAGCGTGGAGGTCAACCTGATAGGAAATATTACTAGCAATGGGGCCTCTTGTCCAATTACTAACCCTTCCTCCCCCCCCCCCCCCCCCTCTCCATCGTAGTAAAGCTTTGGTGTTTTAAGAGGGACGCTGAAGCCCATCTTTCGACTATTAAGCTCCCTTAGTCGCCTTCTACGACACCCACAGGAATAGAACAAGTGACACATTCTATATTGGGACTACACGGCATATGGCTGTACCATAGACAATAAAACTTGCGCAGTAAAATATTTTTTACGGACATACTACTGTATAATTGTAAGTTATTGGGCGATATTTACTTTAAAATAATATCCGGCCGGTCTCTAAACACTAATATATGTATATCAATAATTAGTAGTACCGCATTCGAGTATTCTGACACTTCCCTATAATTGACTGGGAGAGAATGCTTTTAGCATTAAGTCCGCCATGTACACATATATGTACTAATGAATAAATAAATAAATAAAATTAACCATTTGGAATATTTTGTAAATTTATTTTCATTTCTTTTGGGTGTTCTTTACTTAAAAATAATATGGCCAGTATACACTATTATCCATTTTGAATATTTCGTTTTTTTTTTATCTCTTTCCTTTTACAAACGGCCAGTGTAGTATAAATAAAAAGCATAGTATATACAAGTCCACGTTTAATATTTTCGTTTGCAAATTAAAACATAATTACACTCACACAAAAAAAACAGCCATAACATTAAAAATTATAATAAACAAAACATATACATTCACACAAAACATACACTTACAACATAGTATATATACGGCACTCCAAGATATAATTAACAAAGACAGAAAATCCCAAGGGATTGGAGATTACTAGCTTGCGTATAGTAGTAGCAGAAAACGTTAAAACCCCAAGCCGAAACCCTGGTTTAATAAAACAATTTTTGTGAACATTTTTTTCATCTATTCCGAATTCGAATTGGAGTTACGTATACATGAGGCCTATAAAATCAAAGGCAGCTAAACACCATAAAATCAATTGCATTTTTACTCTGTATTAAAATGTAGAGGGTGTTCTATTAATTAAAATTCAAATAAGTAATATTCAAATTTATTTTCAATTTATCAGTTCAGGTTTAAAATATATAGTAACGTTTTTTTTTTTATTCAACTTAGAATGGCAAACAAGCTGACGGTCCACCTGATGGAGAGTGGTTACGTCACCTATAGACATGAGCAGTGCCGTGGACATAACATACTGTTTCGCCCATGATACCCCCCATGCGTTGCCATTCCTGAGGACTCAGGTGTTATTCCTCTGTACCCTGTAAATTCACGTCATATCCCACCCTTCAAACCGAAACACAGTCATGCAAACACAACTGCTTCACGGTAGAAACACGAATGGGACAAACAATCGACTTTTGTACAAAGTCTCCCTCTCGTTCCATATCCTTGATAAAATATTAAATTTTGTATTTTCTTGAACATACGACAGACTTGTCTTTGATTTATAGGCCCTCATATCCAACTTAAAATACATAGTACACTTTGTTTACAATAAAAAAAAATATAGACTATATTAAGCGCTAAAATTGTACATGACTGTAAATCGCAGTCTATAGTGTTTAAAGAAATACCATTCAAAATCTGCGTTTCCTAAATCTGGCATAGTAAACAATCTTGGTATATCTTTGTATTAAATTTAGTAATTAAAAAAAAAATGTGTCTACTTTATTTGCATTATACAATATAGGAAATAAGCAATAAACAAATGTAACGATACAGTTGTATAAGTACAGTAAGGCGGTCTTATTGCTGAGAGCAATCTCTTCAAGACAACCTTAGGGTAATTGACTAATTGTTGTACAAGTAGGTATAATTATAGTGGTAGTGCTGTATAATTAAGCAAATTTGGATTAACAGTGAAAATTGACATAAATACAATATATTACAATATCAATCTTCACGTCTTTTTGTCCCTTGCGGGGTAGACAGAGAGAATTGAGAGCCTTAGGCATTTAGGCCTTAGACATTTTTCATAACTAAGACTCATTTACACACTAATGATCCGGAGTGGATCGTTAGGAATGACTTCTAACAGCTCCATTGCTATCAATATACCACCTAAACAGGTCGACCTCCACGCGGTTCCCCCTGGAAACCATCGTGACTAATTCTTGTCGAATTCGTCATGGTAGACCAACTGGTCTGCATTCATCCTCACCTATCATCCCTCACTGGTGCCCCGCCAGTATATACTGATAGCACGGCTAGGTTACTATTTCATTTTCACCCATTAAAAAAAACATTTCGACTTGGATTCGCGCTTATTAATAGAATTTTTAAAAACAATATACAGCCTTTGTTACTTGTCAATAATTGAGCTTTCTATAGGTGAAAAATTTTGACAATAAGTTGAGCAGTCTTGGTGTTAATCCATTATAGAGAAAAAATCAAATCCTTTATAACTGTCCTTATTCATATAAACTGAAACATCTTACAAATCTATTTTAACTGTTAAAATGTTTTAATACTGTCTTTTATATTGAGAAATTAGTGCAAAAGGGCAAACCACTTCATCATCATCATATCAGCCTTTGTCTGTCCACTGCTGAAAATAAGCCTCACCCTTGGGGAGCTTTTGCCAGTAGTTGCCACGTTTGGCAGGCTGGATTGACAACAACAGTTAGGATTTAGAGATGTTTTAAGAGGGACGCTGCTGCCCATCCCTCGCCCTCCTTAATCGTCTTTTACGACACCCACAGGATAGGGAAGGGTGGCCTATTCTATGCCGGGACCACCATACGACCCACACATACACAAACACTTCGTTCTTATATAGAACACGCGGGAGTGGCGACAGTATCCTGAGCATGTGTGTGTATAAATTAGACCGGTGTTTCCCAACGTGGGGCTCACGCTTCACAGAGGGGCAAATTGATAGTTAAAGGAGGGGGGAGGGACAAATTGATTTTAAAAATTATGTATGGGGGGGGGCATAAAAATTTTTTAGAAATGTTCAAGATATCGGTGCCAAATTTAACAAAAAAAAAAGTAAATTAAAAAAATGCTGTAAATATTTATTAGGTATAATTTCTTTTGACGTTACCAAAATATCAACTGGGCGATTAGAGTCGTCAAGTAAACTTTGTCGGGAAAAATTATGTATGGGGACATAAAAATTTTAGAAATGTTCAAGTGGGGCACGGCACAAAAACGGTTGAGAAACACCTGAATTAAACTAAAACTAAATCATTATTAATTATTACCATAGTCTAACTACACCTACTAACAAAATATGGACCTAAGTTGTTTGAAATTAATAAATTAAGAAAAAAAAATTTTAAAAGAAATCTATACATTTTTTTATGAATAAGGGGGGTAATTTAGAAAAAGACATAGCAAGATTGTCACCAATTGCGCCAAATACAGACATACGAATTACGACTTTATACACATATTAATAAAACTCATTTTCATTAAACCTATTTTATAGCCTTCTCGCCCAGTTTCACCACTTTGTCCAGATTGTCCTTCAACGTTTTCAGTTGGTTGAGCACTTTGGCGTCCATAAGCGAGAAGGGTATATACGCTTGTGACTGTCGCAGCTGCTTCGGCTGCAGCGACAGCATGGTACCGTCTTGTAGCAGGATATTGCAGTTGGCCTTTTCATCTGGTTGCATTCTGAAAGTGATAATTCAAATTTTTTTTAAACAACTGCTAAAGGCAAGAGGTATTTTTTTTTATACAACACTATACATGTAATAAAAAGGTCGCGTCACGCAGACGAATTCGCGGGCACAAACTAGTGTTTATATAACAGAATGCAACTCACGTGTAGCATGTGGGCACCATGACGGGCGACCCCGACATGGACACAACCATCTCGCCCTGCCGCGGCTGCCGCAGCACCGTCAGCGGCGTGTACGGCGTCACCTGGGAAACACAATATTGGATTAAGAAGAGGAAGGAATTGTTAGATAGATACTCTTTATTGTTTCCTCCAAAAGATTACAATAAACTTATTATAGATATAAACAATTACAAGAAATAATCACAGTGAGAAAACAACGGGCGACTTTATTACTGAAAGCGATGTCTTCCAGGCAAGTTGCAATCTCCATAGATTGGTGGCACCGCTTATCTTATTTTTTTTCGCATATTGGGTCAGCTAAGCCGATGAACGTCGACCCATACGGATCTTTTGTGCTTCCCCCTGCCTTATACCATCATTTCATAGATCCTATGTGTTACCCTAACGATATCCCGCGGTTTAAGTTGTCTGTGGTCCCCTGGCTCTGGATAAGCCGTTCCCAGTAGACTCATATGCATACATGCCAATGAATCGCAGTTGCACATCAAGTGTACCATGGATTCCTATTTCTCCCCGCTTGGTGGCACCGCTGCTAGTAATATATCCAATCAGGTCGACCTTTGCGCGGATCTCTCTAGAAACCACCATGATTCATTGTCACTGAATTCGTAACTATGAGCTAACCGATATGCTTTCCTTTTTAACACATCATCCCTCGCTAGTGCTTCGCCAGAGTATACCGATAACGCAAGCGGAGTTACCATTTTATTATCATTCATGAAAAAAAAAATACTCGGTTAGACCATCAAAGTTATCAAAATAGTACTACAACGAAGTACAGATGTCGCTGTGCGTGTGACGCAGGTATGTTTTTTGTTCTGAGTGAAAATGGAATGGTAGCCCGCGCTATCGGTATACACTGTCGGGGCACCAGTGAGAGATGATAGATGAAGCAGATCAGTTAGCCCACCGTGACGAATTCAACAAGAATTATTCACGATAATTTCCAGGGGGAACCACGTGGAGGTCGACCTAATAGGGTATATTGATAATTAGTTAGTTTCTTTGAAACTAACCTTTCCATTAATAACAATCCCTTCCCCCCTTAAATAGACGGTTAGACCATCAAAAGTTCCAAAAATAGTACTACAACGAAGTACAGATGGCGCTGTGTGTCACATCCAGGTACGTTACCTTGGGCGTGATGGCAGGAAAGTTGACGGGAGCATTTTTATTGTACGCGGGCGTTCGGTACACGGAGCGGCTGCGGCGCCGTTGGATGGTCTTGCTGGCGGTCGGCGGCTTGCGGCACGACGCGTCCGCTGACCGCGACCGTCGCCCGGACGACACAGAGGGCGCCACTGTAACACGACACGGGACAACCGTTATACATTGCTTAACAGTTGCCGTGGGCCTTGTGCCTCAAATCAACAACTTTTCTTATGATACCTAGAAATGGCAAACAAGCTAGTTTCCACCAGGTGGACAGTGGTATCCATCGCCTATAAACACGAACGACACCAAAGAGTTAATTTTAAACTTTCGCGTAAAAGCAGGTATGTAGGTACTATTTACTTGCAAAGGATTTTTTCATCGCGTTAAATCCCAATTGTGTACTTAAAACACCAAGAAAAAGAGAGATAAAGAAAACGAAAGAGAGAGATAGAAAAAGAGAGAGGGAGAAAGGGTGAGGGGGGGAGATGGAGGGCGAGAGAGAGAGATGTAGAAACTGCATGGTGATGTAGCACAGCATCCGTGATGCGTAAATAATACTGTGGACGGAAATCTTATGCCTCCATACACTAATGACATTGGCATATCCCACCCTTAAAACCGAAACATATAGAAACAAACACAGATGTATAACAGTAAAAGTACGAGTGGGACAGAGGTACCCAAGCAAAAAACTCATGTATAAAATCACCATCTGGTAATTTAATTATTAAAATTAGTGATTTAATAATTAAACTACATTATTTTCATTCCCTTTTATTTCACGTTCATATGATGATTTTATTTTTATTTTTAACCGACTTTAGAAAAAGGAAGTACTCAATTCAATGGATGATCGTTGATGAAATTGGTTAAATGATACACAGTTTTACTGAATTAGCTGTTATTTTGCGGAAATTCATACCACTGGTTTATAATTAAATGGTAGTGGAAATAAATCTAACCCATTTGCCAGTAAATGATATTAATTTTATTAAAAAAAAAACGCACAAAGCAACAGAGGGCCTACCATGAAATATTTTCCGAAATTTCGGGGACGAACGAAATAGAAATTTGATGTTAGTATTACATAATACACGCCGTTTAAAATTATTAAAAATGTTAAAATATCGTTCCTCTGGACTATTAGAATATGATTTATGATGAATGAAAAGTTAAGCTCCATTTACTGGGTCGATTTAAGTATGAACAAAATCACGAAATTGAGCCTGAAAATTCGGAATTTCATTTCATGGTAGGCCCCCAATTTTAGTTTTGAGAAATTAATGCATGCACTACAAAATTTAAATAATAACAATATACCATGTTAGCAATGAGACTGTTAGATCCTATTTTTTTTGTTGATGGGTGAAAATATGGTAACCTCGCCTGCGCTAACGGGATACGCTGGCGGAGCACCAGTGAAGGGTGATAGATGAGAATGAAAACAGGCCAGTTAGCCCATCATGATGAATTCATCAGGAATCAACCATGATAGTTTCCAGGAGGAACCGCAAGGAGGTCGATCTGGTTGGGTCTATTGCTAGCAATGGGATTCTCAGTCTCCATTACAAACAATCCCTTTCCCCCCTGTTAAGGGAAGCAGTAACAATCGCTTATAGACATCAACAGCATCGTGTGACGTCAAAGAAAGACTCGGTTGAGTCTCCCTTTGGATACCTCTATTCCTTTTGTCTTTCTGCAGTAAAGGAACTTACCTTTTTTTTTTATTCATTAGTACAAATATGTGTACATGGCGGACTTAATGCTAAAAGCATTCTCTCCCAGTCAACCATAGGGAAGTGTCAGAATACTTGAATAGGGAGCGTAATTACAAAATATGGAGTCATATTACAGTAGTCCACAGGAGTGGCAATGCATGAAAGGTACCACGGGCGTCACAGGATATTCTTTGATGTCACATCTGCATGTCACGCGTGCAGAGTCAACTGTGACCCTGCACCAGGTGGGCCATAAACTTGTGTTTCTCAGTTGCATACAAAAAGCGTTAGCCATAAGGGCGTATTTGCAATGAAAATTAAGCTAGATACGAGAAGAGATAGGCTGTCACTCACCAAACTTCTTGCCTTTGTCACCGGAGCCCTGCGACGAGTTCTCAGTGAGGTAGCCTGCCCCAGAAAGCGCCCGGTTAGTGGAAAACATGATGGTGATGTTAGTTGAGAAGAAACTTAATAAAGTATGACAAATAGTTGATAATTTATAGTTATTGTAATAAAATATATAAATACAGTGAAACCTGGTTAAGTGAAATGTTAACATTAAACCTACCAAACGCGGTCAAATAACAGTTTTTGAAATTTAGTTTAAAAATTTTCATGTATAAATAACGTTACTGTATCACCATGCAACTTATCGACTTTTCCTAAAATATACATACAAGGCATTTTTCAATATTTACAACTTACTATTATTTACTTGTATTTTTTTTTTTATACAACTTAGAATGGCAAACAAGCTGACGGCCCACCTGATGTAAAGTGGTAACCGTCGCCTATAGACATGAGCAGTACCATGGACATAACAGAGTATACTGTTTCGCCCATGATACCCCCCATGCGTTGCCATTCCTGAGGACTCGGGTGTTATTCCTCTGTACCCAGTAAATTCACGCCATATCCCACCCTTCGAACCGAAACACAGCCATGCAAACACAACTGCTTCACGGTTGAAACACGAATGGGACAGAGGTACCCAAGCAAGCGACTTTTGTACAAAGTCTCCCTTTGTTTACTATCCAATTGGCTAAAATCTCTTTCTATATTAAGATACATACTTTATTTTAAAGCGGTCATTTGACCGCTCATGGTGGTATTAGGTATACATGAAATGTCGGTAGGTTTAGTGTTAAGGGACCTGCAAGTTTGTCTCGCTTATAGAGGTATTCCCATTACCAAGTGTCTCAGATATCTAGGGTATAAATAAATATCTGTCATTTACAGAAGGTCTATTAATAGGGGAGTGTTAGCAAACACTATTCTAGTTCAGGATACTCCGATAAACGTTCACGATTTAATTTACCCTGTTTGTACTTATCAAATGGAATGCTTCTTATTGGATACTTAAAAAAGTTAGTCCCAAACCTATTTTATCTACAGAATTGTGTTTTTTTGCGTTAAATTTAAATTTGAAACAGCGATAAAACACTCCAATAGTTAAAATAGATTTGTAACTTTATAAATTTATAAAAAAATATCCAATATGAAGATTGAAAAATATATTTTATGAACCATGTCAAAGATATAAGTATTTCATAGTAATTGTTTTTATTTAGTTTACAATTTATTTATTTATTTACAAGAAACATGGTAAGTGTACAGATGTTACAATAAGTATAAGGCCTCATATTTCGCCATAATTAGGCATGCCAATATTAAAACTTAAAAAGAAATGTTAAATGAGTCATTAAAATTCGAAATGTTATATAAAAAAAAAATACATCACAAATGTCAGACACTTGTCAACAATAAAAAAAGAAAGAAATGTCACTGTCAAATCGTGAACTATTGATGACAGCTGCATTGTAACACGATAGGTAATTCTAGTAGGTAAACATTTTTGTATTAAAAACTCTTGCACACTGTAAAATTATATATATAAGTGTGTATTAATTGTATATATATATATATATATATATATATATTATATAGCCAAATATAAATATTTATCAATGGGAGTGTCCCCATTCGTGTTTCTGCCATGAAACAGTTGATTGCACAACTGTGTTTTGGTTTAAAGCGCAGGATATGGCAATGAAATTACAGGGTACAGGAGCATAACATCTTAGTCTTCAGGAATGGCAATGCATGAAAGGTCTTATGAAAGACACAGTATCCTTTGTTATGCCCATGGGACACAGTCTATAGAGAACAGTTAACATTTTCCATCTAGAGATTGAGAGCCTGTTTGTCATTGTAAATTGCAATAAACAATTTTTTTTTTTTGTTCTATCTACAAAATCCACACACCTTGTTAAATTTATAAATTAGTTACAATTTATACCGCTAGATGGAGTTGTATCAAGAAAAATAATTATAATTTAATTATTGAATTATAAAACCAAAGGCCATAGGACAAAGTAGCAATTTAGAATAACAAGCACATATATATAATAATATGTTACATTAAAATAATATATATACAGAAGTAAAAACCCAATGTACATATCTAACAAGGCACTAATAGCAGCTGGCAGCAGTATTATGAAAAATACACAGTATTTTTATTGTGTATTATATAAGTCTAAAATATATTCTTTTACATTATCAACTACTGTACTACCAACTGTCTTTCAACGCCTGTCTATAAGCACTCTAAATAATGTTATACCAAAATGAACCTTATGATAATGAAGATAAGATAAATTTTAACTTAAACCAGTATACCATCGTCATGTGAAGCCGAGCATCCAGAGTGTCTGGTTCTCCTCGTATTTGCCACTTCATTCAGGAAAAGTTCAGATTTCTGTAAATATTAAATGGAAATTGATAAATAAATAAATACATTGACAACACACGACCTCAGATATAAGACCTCAGTGGTTCTTAGATTCTCTGATTGATTAATTTTTTTTTAATGGATGACAATGGAATCATAGTCCCCTCTGCGCTATTGGTATACACTGGTGGTGCACCAGTGAGGGATGATAGGTAGAGGATGAAAAGGCATGTCAGTTAGCCCGTCGTAAAAAATTCAATGATAAATTAGTCAAGATGATTTCCAGGGGGAACTCGACTGGACTCGTGTGAAGGTTGACTTTATGGGGTATATTAATAGCAATGGGAACTAACCTTCTCATTACTAACAATCCTTTACCCCCCTGTTTGATTAATTTGACATGAGCAGTCAAAACAGAGCCATGCAAACATAACTGCTTCACGGTATAAACATGAATGGGACATAGGTGCCCAAGCATATGACTTTTATGTAAAATCTCCCTCTGATAAATATGTTAGGTAATATGATAATTTTTTAATCTTTCTCCTTAATTATTTAATTATCCTTAAAAAAAGTATAAGCTTAAAAAACATTCTTAGATATGTCCAAGGAGAGATTTAAAGGTACTAAGTGCCTTGGTAAGCTCCTCTCTGACCAAATTTGATACAAGAATAGTAATCAAAATATCAGCATGTCAATTGTTAGATTATTAAAGAAAACAACCAGTTGTATCAGAAGCAGACTTTGTACAAAAGTCATTTGCTTGGGCACCTCTGTCCCATTCATGTTTCTATCATGAAGTACAACTGGCATGACTATTTAAGTATGAAAGGTTTTTTCTTAAATCCTCTCATTTGGGCCATTGTGCATACAGTTAGACCCCATTACTAATAATCCCTTTCCCCCCAGTTTGTAGTGTGGGATATGGCAGTAAATCTACAGGGTACAGAGAACAACACCTGAGTCCTCAGGAATAGCAATGCATGGGAGATATCATGGGCGAAACAGTATACTCTGTTATGTGCATGGTACTGCTCATGTTTACAGGCGCCGGTTACCACTTTCCATCAGGTGGGCCATCAGCTTGTTTGCCATTCTAAGTTGCATAAAAAAATATGGACTTTTGCTATTTGCTTCAGAATCATACAAACCAATGGAAACTCACCAATTGCCCAACAGTCTTGTTCAAGTATGTGGACTTAATAGAACCCAACAGTATTTTGAACGCTATGTCCAATGTCTTCAATTCCAAGTTCACGCGGTTGTCTATTTTGTTCTTTCGGTCAATTACTGTTAATAAAAATAAATAATATCAATTTCACATTACGCAGATCGCCTGGTCCTCAAACCATGATACCAAGTGCTGCAAGGAACCATCTGACAAGTATCCCCCAGATTTTTATTACTCAAACCAATTCAGAAAAGTTAATTTCTGGAACTACTCCGACTAGGAACCTCATTTACAGAAAACAATGCGCTACATGTGTCCATCAAGAAACTACTAACACATTCCCAATAATACAATCAAATTCCACAGACACGATCATAACCCCAAAACCACCCCAGCCAATGATCAAACTTATAAAACCATTTAATAAGAACACCCTAATCCACTACACCATTAATTAAAAAAGTCATAAGATCCACTGCTACACTCATTTAAAATCACCAATTACACCCTTACCTATCACCATTCCATATACACAAAACTAGAAACACTGTTACACTGTCACAATCACAATAGTGCGTCTGGCATGTTTGCGGAGTCCAGGGTGAATAATTACTTAGCTATAATAAGAAATCGTGTAACAAATTTCTGGGCTCACATTCAAAATTTAAAGAATGAAATCCTCAGCACATTGTCAGTGTCTGAACGGTCCCATTCAAAAGTACTGCTTGTCCGTGCACACAGACAGGAACATTAATGTTCTCTTGTTTTTTTTATCTAATAACTGTGTTTGCTATATTATTTACTTACTTTACAATCAAACTCTCCAAAATCATACCTCCACCCCTTGTGTTTCTGGTTAGGTTCTAACAGTTATTTAAATGCAAAAAAAAATATTGAGATCGATTATAAGTTTTTTGGAAATTCAAAGTGACATTAGATATTTAACTAAATTATAAATATTACTAGTTGATAGAAAAGTATCTCTTAAACCAAACAATAACAAAAGTATAGAGCACTCACCTAATTTATTAAATTTTTTCAACGCTTCGTTTTCTTCAGCTGATTTCTCTTGTTTCTTAACCGGTCGCTTCGTCCGTGGCATTTTGTAATGAGTTATCTCTCAGTAACGAATTACCTTTTTTGTTTAATAATATTCAGACATTAATTTACAAACAAAAATTAAAGAAAAAGCTGTCAATATAAAATGAAAATTCACAAAATCAAAATTAAAAACAAAAAAGCAACCGATAATTTTGAATTTAATTACATATTTGGATACATTCAAGGCGACAACAAAAAGTAAAATAACTATAGCAATAAGCGGTTTGATAAACGTTTACGATGAAATATGCTTATTTATTTCCTTTTTTATAGTACTTACTTTACAGTATATATTGTGTTAATAGTTAATTCTTCATTCTCTTTTTTATCTTAAATTAAAGTGCACTTTTAATTAAGATAAAAACTAACTTTAGAAGTGAATCCGAACGAAATTGAGTAGATTCCAAAAATATTGGCTAATATACAATATGCCAAGCAGACAATATAGAAAAAAAAACAGGTTTAGTAGTATAAACGGAAACGGAACTTAAAGGTCATTAGACAAATTATTTAATGTCTTTATAAGATAAGCGAATTATTTATATTATAACATAAAAAATATAGAATAATAATAATATATTGTTGAAGATTTATAAATTTCTGTAATATAAATTATATTTTGAAATATTAATGCTACATTTGATTTCCAGAGTGCATTGTTATGATGAACGAAGAATGGCGGACACTGTCATATTACGATACTTGTTCACATTTTTAATAATAAATGCTTGTAACGGTAAGATTTCGTTTTAATTTATATTTCTAATTGTATAATTTTACATCATATACTAATGGCCAAAGTTACAACAGCTTACTATTTCTCTAAACGTGAATATTCACGTAGCTTCCGCGCTTGATTATTTCTATATTCATGATGTTTTTCAATACAATTCAATGTTTATGTGTGTTATCGTTTATCTTATCGTAGATTTAATAATTTAATTTTGTATTCCACTTTTAATGACTTAATTACACTAATTATTATTATAAAAATTTACTATTGTATTCATATTTTGACATATTGTTTATTGTAATTATTGTCTAATAGTAACATAGAAATGCTTGTTTATGATTTTTTTACAACTGAAAATCTACATGCGATATATTCTCCGGAATGAATGAATTTTTTTATACATATTAATTTTATGTTATTGAGTAAATATTTAGTAAAATATGTAGTAAAAAGTTAATACATTCACTGCCTACAAAATTAATGGAAAATAATAGCTGGGAACCAATTTTTTTTAAGGCAAATTTTGATTAAGTATATAGGAATATTTAAAAATATACATGAATGTTTATGGTTATTGTTATTTTAATAAAAAAAATTTCGGGTCCGAGTGGGATGCACTGCCACTATGGCCTCGTCCCACTCACAGTCGAGTGGTAAGCACTGAATGTGTTCAATACTGCTGCTGGCTGCTGCTTCATACTGTTTAAATGTTTTTTTTTTTGTCAATTACAAATACAATGGTTCCCACCATACATAGTGTTGCTAAATGGTTTAAGATATTTATTTTCTTAAAGAAATACAATTCATTTAGATTAGAAATTACAAAGTTTTACAAATATATGAATAGTGAAGGTGGAATAGAAGTTACACACTACTATACTACTATACACTATGTGTAAATTTACAATACTAACTTTAATATCAATATATTTTTTTATACGACTTAGAATGTCAAACAAGCTGACGGCCCACCTGATGGAAAGTGGTAACCGTCACCTATAGACACGAGCAGTACCATGCACATAACAGAGTATACTGTTTCACCCATGATACCACCCATGCATTACCATTCCTGAGGACTCAGGTGTTATTCCTCCGTACCCTGTAAATTCACACCATATCCCACCTTTCAAACCGAAACACAGCCATGCAAACACAACTGCTTCATGGTTGAAACATGAATGGGACAGAGGTACCCAAGCAAATGATTTTTGTACAAAGTCTCCCTCTGATAATGTATTGTATTGTAAAATCTTTATTGTACATACTTCATATGGAATACTTTAAAAATTAATTAAATTAAATAAAAAAAATACATTAATTTGTTTGGTAGTCAGGTCAGTTGATCCATGATGGGCTAACTGACCTACTTTCATTCTCACCAATCATCTCCCAAAGGTATGCCAGCATATACCAATAGGCAGGTTACCATTCCATTTTCACCCATTAAAGAAGTGATTTAACAATTTAACAGGATATATTGCTAGCAGTGTGACCACTGATTCCTCCTGAAAAGTCACAACCACAGTTACTTGACTCTTCACTTCATATCACTGTTTCTGCATTTATCCCCAGGTTTGCCAGGACTGGAGAGCCTGGACGATGGATCACTACCTACCACACAGATGACAGAATTAAACCAGTCCAACGAACCAGTGTCCATTTATGACAAGATGGTACACCTTCCTAGGTAAGATTGCTATTTTATATGGCATTTATTATGTTAATAGAAATGTGATGTACTTTTCACATGAGAATTAATGAAATATCCCATTTAGGTCATAATTAATATTTTTTATAAATAAATGATATCATCATCATCATCATCACTACATAGTATAAAACAAAGTCGCAATCCGTTTATCCATCCCTATGTAAGCTTAAATATTTATAACTACGCAATGAATTTTAAAACAAGTTTTTTTTAATAAATAGAGTGATTTGAGAGGAAGGTTTATATGTATAATACATACATAATATAGTATAAAAACACATAATTTTAAAGGTTTCTAATGTAATGGGATATTGATGATGATGATGTGATGATGACAGATGCACTGTGCCAAGCGGAAGCAGGTCGCTAGTTAGTTATAAAATATAGATGGGAGACAGGTGTGACAGATATGTAGTATGCACAATAAAGATAAAGGAATCTATATGCTGTGCTACATTTAAAACTATCTATTTTCCTTTATTATAATAGTCAATCCATGCAGGATTATTTGACTTTGCATCCAAATATGTAGTGTCCATTTGTCTGTACTTTTTTAATTTTTTTTTATTGGTAGAAAATGGTATGGTAACCCCGCCTGCGCTAACGGGATACGCTGGCGGGCCACCAGTGAAGGGTGATCGATGAGGATGAAAACAGGCCAGTTAGCCTAGCATGATAAATTCATCAGGAATTAATCATGATAGTTTCCAGGGGGAAACACGAGGAGGTCGACTTAGTTAGGTATATTGCTAGCAATGGGATTCTCAATCTCCATTACTAACAATCCCTTTCCCCCCTGTATTTTTTTATTTAGGATTACCAACATAAGATACGGCGAAACATTTCAATACATAACACTAGTGGATATGTATTTTAATATTTTATTTAACTGTATATTTGTTTATGTACACTAAATATTAATAGTTGTAGCACTTCAGCTGCCCGCTAACAACATGTTTTCTAACTGCATTGGGTTGACTGGGAGAGATCTCTGTCAGAGATAAGTCCACCCTTGTTCACAATATTTATAAATGCATTAACAACGTAATTTACAAGTGCAATAAAGAATATATGATTACTTACTGACTGACTTACTGTTCATACATTTAAAGGCTTCGTGTTTAATAAATATTAAATTATAATTTAATTATTACAATAGAATTAATTGTATATTAATGTTAACATTGTTTTCTTTCCCTGCTCATCGTAACATAGGAAGAAAAAATTTGAAAAGAGGTAATATTTATTACATGTTTCCTAGAATTTATGTGTTTTTTATTATACAGAAGAGATATGGATGCCAATAGTTGTCATAGAATATTCTATGCCCAGTGTCACTGGCACTGCTCATACAACTGTTGATTTCAAACTTGTCAGTGCTCATCTGGGACAATGAAATCGCTGCGTTATAATATATACTTATTGATATTTTTCTATTGTGTGTTTTTATTGCATTAATGCTGTCGGATTTTTGATACAATTTTATAATTTTAGTTGTAAATTGGATGTGCTTTTCTAAGCAAAATTTTTTTGGCATTTTTGATTCACAAAAATTTCTGTCCTATTATGTTCTATAGCATAGGTACGTTTAGGTATGTACTATTAATGTATGACTTTATGGTTTTTTTTATGGGTATATAATGGAATGGTAACCCCACCCGCTCTATCGGTATACACCGACGGGGCACCAGTGAATGATGATAGGTGAGGATGAAGCAGGCCAGTTAGCCCATCGTGACGAATTCAACAAGAATTGTTCACGATGGTTTCCAGGGGGAACCATATGGAGGTCGACCTGATAGGACGAATTGCTAGCAATGGGGCTGTCAAACTCCATTGCTAACAATCCCTTTCCCTCCACTTTATGGTTGTCTATGATAACATGCCATTGCATGTCTCTCCAAATTTAAAATGTATACAAATATATAATTACAAAATTTCTACCAAGGAATATATTCCTCTGGCTGGACCACTATTGAAAATGTCTCCTCACAAATAAAACACTATGTCTATATGTGGTAACACACTTTGAAGTAAAAAGTTGGACCCGTTTTATTATTATTATTATTATAGCTTTTTTTTTATCCACTTCCGTGGTCCCCAAGGGTAAAAGCCTCCTCTATCTTTTTCCACTTCTCCTTATCTATAGCAATGACAATGCTATCTTTATTATGTTATCTGTCTCTTTCTTTGTTCCAACATTTCTTTTTCCTGCTGGACCTCGCCATTTTGTTGTTTGGAGAGTCCACCTTTTATCTTTGTACCTCACTATATGTTGGACCCGTTATGTTGTATTAAAATGACAATGTATACTTAAAATTATCGTTGTTCGTGCAGGTACTCGTGCCACCAGTGCGAGCACGCGGAGTGCGAGGCGTCTGCGGAGGCGGAGGAGGGCGGGGAGGCGGGGAGGCGGAGGAGAGCGCGGAGGGCCGCGTGTGCCGCGACGCGCTGTACTGCTTCAAGGCCACGGTGCGCGCGCGCGACGGCCGCCTGCAGCACTCGCGCGGCTGCACGCAGCGCACCGACCACTACCACTTCATCTGCCGCACCAGCCAGCCGCAGGGGTGAGTCGCCTCCCGCCGGCTAGCACGCAGCGGCAGCGGGCAGCCTGCAGCACTCGCTCGTTACGTTTTATTGTTTTAGTATCTTGACTGTACTAATTCATTTATTTGGTACCTCTATCCTATTTGTTTTCAACTGTGAAGTAGTTATATATATATATATATATATGTATATATGTGTTTATATATATATATATATATGTTAAAAAAAAATTAACATTGCATTACAGTACACACATATACTAAAATAATAACTTCATCTAGTGGTTAATCTGAGAAGTATTTTTGTTTTCATTTTTTTTTTATACAACTTAGAATGGCAAACAAGCTGACGGCCCACCTGATGGAAAGTGGTAACCGTCGCCTATAGACATGAGTAGTACCATGGATATAACAGAGTATACTGTTTCGCCCATTATACCCGCCATGCGTTGCCATTCCTGAGGACTCAAGTGTTATTCCTCTGTACCCAGTAAATTCACGCCATATCCCACCCTTCAAACCGAATACTTCATAGTTACAGAATTTTACTCAATACGGATTGATATGATTCTTTCTTAGTTAGGCTGCATCAGTTTAATCTTGGCCAAAATTGCCGTCTAAATTAAAAAAAAGTCTGTAAATTTTTATATAAATGAAAACATAACTAATTTATTCTGCAGACCACACAAGCGTCACGCTGCCCAACTGCAGATAACCTGTTGCAAGGGAGACATGTGCAACGAGGGCAGCTTCCCAGAACTGCCTCCGGTCGACACCTCCATAGAGCCACTGCCGTCGAACGCTTGGAAGCTATGGGCCAGTGTGATCGCCTCTGTGCTTATCATCAGCATGATCGGCTCTATGGCGATATTCGTACTCAGAAGGAGTCATAGGTAAGTTGTGTTTGGCCAAATAAACTTTAACATACAGCTTAATTTAAGGATATATATATATATATATATATATATATATATATATATATATATATATATATACTTAGAAAAAATTATACTTACATGAATATGTACATTAAAAAAAAAAAGCTTAAAAACATACATATAATATAGGCACAATTGAAATACAAATAAATTGACAATCATGATTAAAAGTAAAAGATGATGAATGACTCTTCAAAGTATTTTTTTTTACTATTAAATTTTAAAAACAAATTGGCAATTTTTTGTGGAAGCCTTATTTTATCTAAATGTTATGAGCGGCTCTTCAAAGTTTCTTTATAAGAAATTCCTGGACTTTTATTTAAAAAACAAATTGTAAAATTTTTTGTGCAAGTCTTTAATTTATCTAAATGTTACGCTTGACAGGCTGCGCGTGTCGAGAGCGTCGCTGCACAAGTTGGGCGCCGACCCCAACTACTTCTCGTACAGCCCTCAACTCACCAGTGCATTCTATGAAGGTAAAGTTACACTTATGTTTTGACCGTCAAGCGACTATGCTTGTTTACCTGTGTTATATGATGGTACATTAGTCCAGAAAAGTGGTAAAGCTACCATTACCACAAGATTGTGGGCTAATTGTAACAAATAGTATGTTATTTTAAATAATATACATATATAATAATTTTAATATATATATATATATATATATATATATATATATATATATATATATATATAATTTTAAATAAATAAATTTTAAAATGTCGATAGTCACTTACAGCTTGTCCGCCATTCCAAGTAGTGTATAAAAAAAAAACGGAAATGTATGCGGGCAGCGGCCGGCAAAAGTTGTATGAAAAACCATATCTGTCGTGTTTTACAGCCAGATAAATTACTATGTACACTCATATCTGTCCTGTAATTTAAAAATGGAATGACCTTTAACTTCGAAACATGGCTACCAAGGAGGTAACTAATAAAAGGTTTTATTTAAATTTCGAACTGGCTTGCTAATAGAAAGCTGTTTATTAAAAAAAAAAACAAAGGAACATTATGGCGCGTGAAAAATTATTATTGTTCGTTATTCGTCATTGAACTTAAAAAGTAAAATTGTGTTTTTGATTTCCGCGCATTGTTTGAGAAAAGTACTATACAAGCCTTTACTCAGTTGCTGGCCGCTGCAGTAATGTACTATTTTCAGATGGTAAATATTTTTATACTCCTTTTTTCCCTATAAGAAACTTTTCCCGATAAGAAGTTTTTTTTTATTTAAATTGGTTCAAATGAGTTGCTTATATGGAGTGTTCACTGTAATATTGGATAACAGTCTTTTAACAATTCAAAAATAAATATCCGACTGATTTATATCACCAATGACCTTTTTCCGGCATCAATGTCCAGAAATACACAATGTATAGATATCGGATCGGTATCTATAATTGCCCACACCTAATAATTAGAACGTTAAGTTGTCACATAATGGCAACATTGTTAATGTAAAAATGTGTTCGCAGGCGGCGGCGGCGGCGGCGGCGGCGGTGGTGGTAGCGGCGAAGGGTCTGTGAACGGCGCGGTGCGCGCGGTGGCGGCGGGCGAGTCGACGCTGCGCCAGTACCTGGAGCCGGGCGCCAGCTCGGGCTCGGGCTCCGGCCTGCCGCTCATGGTGCAGCGCACGCTCGCCAAGCAGGTCTCGCTGCTGCACTGCGTCGGCAAGGTACCGCGCCACAGGGACGCTTTCAAAATATGCAATATATAATATTTCATAAGAACAGTAACGGAAAGTATTTAGAAAAACCGAAAAAGCCGGATACCCGGTTGCAAGTGACTGTCGAACATGAAAACAATGTTTATTATGAATTCTGTATCCTAATGCAATAAAGTTAAGCTTGAAAATGAAGTATTAAATTAATGGATAAAAACTCAATTAATTTACCAGAGGGAGACTGTACAAAAGTCGATTGCTTGGCTACCTCTGTCCCATTCGTATTTCTATCGTGAAGCAACTGTGTTTGCATGGCTGTGTTTCGGTTTGAAGGGTGGGATATGGCGTGAATTTACTGGGTACAGAGGAATAACACCTGAGTCCTCAGAAATGGCAATGCATTGGGAGGTATCATGGGCGAAACAGTATACTCTGTTATGTCCATGGTACCGCGCATGTGTATAGGCGATGGTTACCACTTTCCATCAAGTGGACCGTCAGCTTGTTTGCCATTCTAAGTTGTATAAAAAAAAGACATCCCTGACCTCAGGTGACCATAGGCTATAGTAACCTCTTTCACTATTAGATAAGCCGTATGCTTGTTTGCCACCATAGTAATATAGAAATAACATTAGTAATGAGTGGTGACCTTTTTTCTGACACAATATCCAGAGAAACACAATATATGAATATCGGAGCCATATTGATTTTATCCAAGCTCACTTATGACTAAGGGTCTCGGCTGGTCCCGAAACTAGTCGATTTTTCTCCACTGAAATATACTTAAATGAATCCGGATATTTTTACAATAAAATCGTGTAATATGTCTACCACCAGGGTCGGTACGGCGAGGTGTGGCGCGGCTCGTGGTACGCGGACACGGTAGCGGTAAAGATCTTCTTCTCGCGCGACGAGGCCAGCTGGCGGCGCGAGACCGAGATATACAGCACCGTGCTGCTGCGCCACGAGAACATCCTCGCGTACATCGGCAGTGACATGACCAGCCGCGGCAGCTGCACGCAGGTATACTGTCTTCAGAGGCAACTGCCTCGCTGGATTAACACAAAATCGAGAGCTTTGGCTCTCTTCTAATAGGATTTAAGGTGGGAGTGTTAGTAACAAGGATTTTTTAATAGATGATAATGGAATGGTAACCCCGCCTGCACTTCACATAAGTGAAGATGAAAAGGCAGGTCAGTTAGCTACATCTGGTCTCCAGCAGGAACCATATGGAGTTCAACCTGACAGAGTATATTGCTAGCAATAAGACTGGTCTCATTACTAACAATCCATTTCCCCCCTGTACATATGGATTTTTTTTAATGGATGATAATTAAATGGTAACCCTGCCCGCGCTATCAATAGATATTGACAGGGCACTGGTGAGGGATGATAGATGAGCATGAGAGCAGGTCAGTTAGCCCATGGTGAAGAATTCCAGTAGAAATAACCACTATGGTTTTCAAGGGTAACCGTGTGGAGGTCTACCTGATAGGATTTATTGCTAATTATGTAGAAATTGAACCTCATTACTTTATTAATTTAATTTATATCTGTAAATCACAGTGTCTTGGTAATTTCTTATGGACTCCCGCGATACAGGTTCGCCTAGTACGGAGTCCAATGTACTCACATTGTAAATTTCTTGTTTTTAATAAATAAATATCAACGTATATTTGTTTATGTATTAATAATTGTAGCACTTCAGCTGCCCGCTAACGAAATGCTTTCTCACTGTACTGGGTTGACTGGAAGAGATCTCTGTCAGAGATAAGTCCACCCTTGCTCACAACATTTATAAATACATTATTTTATATGTAACTTACAAGTGCAATAAAGAATATATATAAAATTACCAATAATCCCCCCCCTGTATGTATAGATTAGTAAGGATATGTTAATATTCCAGTTGTGGCTGATCACACACTACCACCCGCTGGGCTCGCTGTACGAGCACCTGAACAGGAGCACGCTCACCCGCCACCAGATGATGGTGATATGCCTCTCTGCCATCAACGGCCTGCTGCATCTGCACACAGAGATACACGGCACGCAAGTAAGTATATACTACAATCAATCGTTAATCGATGATCAGTGCCTTAATGTCCGACTTGACCCACTGAAACTGCGTACAGATGTTCCACTTCTGTGCATCTTTTGGTGGTATTTCGCCAGTGTATACCGATAGCGCAGACGGGGTTACCATGCCATGTTAACCCATTAAAAAAACCCATTTGGAAAACGTGCGGTGGTCTTGCACCGCACGTTTTTTCAAGGCACTTTCGTCCACGCACAACCACTCTTTGGAATCAACTCGATGATATATTTTTGTGTATCTTTTGACGTAAATAAATAGTATCTATCTATCGATCCGTCCATCCATGCAAACTGTCTCGTCTATAATATTAATATAATGAATGAATCGCAGGGCAAGCCGGCGATAGCGCACCGCGACATCAAGAGCAAGAACATCCTGATGAAGGTGAACGGCGAGTGTGTGATCGCGGACCTGGGGCTGGCGGCCACGCGGCAGCAGATGCCGTCGCCAAACGAGCCGCGCCAGGGCACCAGCCGCTACATGAGCCCCGAACTCCTAGACGGGAGGTTAATACAATATAAATCTGACATTTACCCTTCGAGCGTTTATGCATCATACGCTGTACCGAACAAGTGTGGTACCGCGCGTCAGTAGTTATTATGTTTGGCAAATGAGTCGGTGACCACAGGTTAGGCTTTGGTGATGATTTAAGAGGGGTGCTGCTGCCCAACCTGGTTTACAGCCTTTCACCGATTTTCTTTAATTTGTCTCACCATCTTTTATTTTTTATCTTCTTTCTATTTTCAAATGTTCTATTGAAGATTTTCTCCTGTTATCAAAACTAACCCTTCCTCCTCAATTAGCCATCAATCTCCGACAGCTATTCTGTCCACGCACGTTTTGCAACACGTGCTTCATACAAACGAGGCATCTTTAGATGAACTACTAGATTGTTGCTAAGATTTATTGAAAGAGGCCATAGCAAACATGGCAATATAACGACTTACCGCTTGACCACAAATTCATCGACATATTTGGTACAAAATATTTTATTTTTAGGAAGAAGTTGTTTTCTATTTTGTAGAATACAATTGAAGATATGTGTTTTTTTTATGTTTTTATATTTTATATATTTATATAGCATTTTAAGTATTTCTTTTTATTTTATGTGTTTGCTTTTTGTGCATTACTCAAGCAGTGCACATAATGTGATTGGATTATAACCTAGCCAAATCACAAATGTAATTATTATCTAAGTTTTTTATGGTTGAGATTTGATTGTGTGGCAATAAAATAAAATTATCACGGCTCCCGTGTCGGCAGCATCGACCCGGAGTGCTTCGAGTCGCTGCTGAAGTGCGACATCTACGCGTTCGCGCTGGTGTTGTGGGAGGTGGCGCGGCGCGTGGCGCCGGCGCGCGAGTACCGGCCGCCCTACCACGCGCTCGCGCCGCCGCACCCCGCGCCGCACCACATGCGCAAGCTCGTCTGCGGCCACGGCGCCCGCCCGGCCCCGCCCGCCCACACGCATCCAGTGAGTACCGCCGCCCTACCACGCGCTCGCGCCGCCGCACCCCGCGCCGCACCACATGCGCAAGCTCGTCTGCGGCCACGGCGCCCGCCCGGCCCCGCCCGCCCACACGCATCCAGTGAGTACCGCCGCCCTACCACGCGCTCGCGCCGCCGCACCCCGCGCCGCACCACATGCGCAAGCTCGTCTGCGGCCACGGCGCCCGCCCGGCCCCGCCCGCCCACACGCATCCAGTGAGCCTTGGCCACGACTAGGCATCGATGGACTCACGTATGTGTGCCTCGGCCACGCCTCGTCCCACATTTGCTCGTTCGTCCATCAATGCCTCAGTTGCCGGCTTCTGCAGTAATGTACTATACCATTGAGGTTATCTACTCTAACAGTACCGAACAAAAATGTGGTATCGCGCGCTAATGCAACAGCGTCTGTTGCTTAAATCGAATTTGCAGCGTCGTTTTCATTTAAATTTATGTAGATCACTAATTCTATGTAAATAATAGGACTCTTTTCCGCTGTAAGCCTCTCATTTGGGCCGTTGTGCGTATGAGTCGTGGCTAGTACAGCCAACCCAGCTCCGCCCAGAAGCGCAGAAGATCTTCAGCAGGAGCGACCTCACCGTTCCAAAGATTTCTAAACGTTGACGGGCCCCAGCTTCACATTCCAGGATTACGTGAGCAGCCGTTTCTTCGGCGTCGAAACAGTCCTCTACATAGAGGACTGTCTTTGGCTCCTATAATGTGTATAAATGTTTGTTTAATGAACAATGATCCCATCTTTCATACCGAAACACAGCCATGTAAACACAACTGCTTTACGGTTGAAACACGGATGGGACAGAGGTACCCAAGCAATCGACTTTTGTACAAAGTCTCCCTCTGGTAATTTAATTTCAGTTCATAGCAGTGGGTCAATTAGACCCTATTACTAACAATCCCTTTCCCCCCGTTGCCATAGAGGTGCCAAACGAGCAACCCTTCAGTTAATTTTAAACTTTCGTATTGTTAATACTCGTAAAATGTACGAGTATATATACACTATCGTGACTTTAACGCCATGGAAAATTGCAGATAAGTAATATCATCATCATCATCATCATCTAAGCCTCTAACTGTCCACTGCTGAACATAAGCGTCTCACTTTATCAGGTTCTGTTAGTAATTCCCACACTTGGCAGGCGGATTGGCAACCGCAGGTAGGCTTTGAAAATATTTTAAGAGGGACGCTGCTGCCCATCCCTCGCCCTCCCTTAGTCGCCTCTTACGACACCCACAGGAAAAAAGTGGTGGGCCATTCTATGCCGGGACCTCACATCGAACGTTACAATGTACTCTATGAAGTGTGTACAGTGCATACTGTAAAATCTGTAGTACAGTTTGTTGATGATTCCATTAGGTAAACTGTAAACTTGAGTGCCATTCTGATTTTTTTTTTATGCTACTTAAAATGGCAAACAAGCTGACGCCCCACCTGATGGAAAGTGGTAACCGTCGCCTATAGACATGAGCAGTACCATGTACATAACAGACTATACTGTTTCGCACATGATACCCCCCATGCGTTGCCATTTCTGAGGACTCAGGTGTTATTCCTCTGTACCCTGTAAATTCACGCCATATCCCACCCTTCAAACCGAAACACAGCCATGCAAACACAACTGCTTCACGGTAGAAACACGAATGGAACAGAGGTGGCTAAGCAAACAACTTTTGTACAGTCTCCCTCTGGTAAGTAATTCAACTAATTGCATAACAAAAATTTTTTTCCAGACAATGGTGGGTCTCGCGAACCTTATGCGCGAATGCTGGCACCAGAACCCATCGGTTCGCCTCCCGGCGTTGCGCATAAAGAAGACGCTCCTAAAACTAGCCGCCTGCGACAACTCCATACATCTAAACGAAGACAATGAGGTGTCCGTGTGACGTTGTATTTTCGTTCGATAATCTGTTTCCATCTAGACGGCAACTTCATTATACCCCCCTCGTAGAAGCCCCCCTCCTTATTTGCGAAGAACTCGGACAGCCACTTTTCACAAGCCTCTTTTGAGTTCAACTTTACACCACCAAGGGCGTTCGCCATGGACAGGAACAGGTGGTAATCACTTGGCGCTATGTCCGGGCTATATGGTGGATGCGATAAAACCTCCCATCCGAGCTCCCGTAGCTTCTGACGAGTCATCAACGAAGTGTGTGGTCTGGCGTTGTCCTGGTGGAACACTACACCTTTCCTGTCGGCCAATTCTGGACGCTTCTGGTCGATCGTCTGCTTCAAGCGGTCCAGTTGTTCGCAGTAGATGGTAGAATTAAGCGTCTGGCCATATGGGAGCAGCTCATAGTGGATGATTCCCTTCCAATCCCACCAAACACACAGCAAAACCTTCCTGGCCGTCAATCCCGGCTTGGCCACTGTTTGGGACGATTCACCGGCCTTCGACCACGACCGTTTTCGCTTGATATTGTCGTATGTGATCCATTTTTCGTCGCCAGTCACCATCCGCTTCAAAAATGGGTCGAGTTCGTTCCGTTTCAGCAGCATATCGCAGGCGTTGATGCGGTCCAGAAGGTTTTTTTGCGTCAAATCATGCGGCACCCAAACATCAAGCTTTTTTTGTATCCAGCCTTCTGCAGATAGTTTAAAATGGTTTGGTGACTAACTCCCATCTCCTGGGCGATGTCACGAGATGCCACATGCCGGTCTAACTCGATGTTTTCCATGATTTGATCGGTATTCGTCGTCACAGGTCTTCCGCCGGCTGGCTTATCCATGGTGTCGTTTTCACCCGCTCTGAATCGTCGAAACCATTCCTCCGCAGTTCGAAGTGATAGAGTACCATCCCCCAAAACACCATTAATCTCACGGAACGTTTCTCTAGCGGATTTGCCTTTAACGAAGGAAAACTTTAAAATAGCGCGAATTTCGGCGTTAGTGAACTCCATGTTTACACGTCTATAACTGTTGAACGCACATTAGAATGACAATTGTATTGTACATTAGAGAAAATGCAACTGGTTTTATTAATTTTTTATGTAAATTAGGTGTTTCAAATTAACTATTTTATTACTATATTTATATCTATTTTAGGGGCTTATTTTGAATGGAATACAGTAGTATGTTAAGTTGATTCTAACATTACTGACTATAAAGTGATATCTCCTATACATACATACATATATATATATATATATATATATGAATAGATCAAAGTGTTATTTTAGATTTGAACTATCCTATGAATTCATGGTATTTTTGTTATGCAACTTAGAATGGCAAACGAGCTAACGGCCCACCTGATGGAAAATGGTAACCGTCGCCTACAGACATGAGCAGTATCATGCACATAACAGAGTATACTGTTTCGCCCATGATACCCCCATGTGTCGCTATTCCTAAGGACTCAGGTGTTATTCCCCTGTAATTCCTGTAAATTCACTGCCATATCCCACCCTTCAAACCGAACACACCCATGTAAACGGAGGTCTACCATGAACTGAAATTCCGAATTCTCAGACTCTTTTTCGTGTTTTTGTTCATACCAAAATTGACCCAGTGAATAGAGCTTAACATTTTGAATATTTTTAAATGGTATATATCAAGTATTTTTAACATCACATTTATATTTCGTTCGGCCCAGAAATTTCGGAACAAATTTCATTGTAGGCCTTCTGAACTGCTTCACGGTAGAAACACGATGGGACAGAGGTACCCAAGCAAGCGATTTTTTTACAAAATCTCCACTCATGCGAAAAGAATAGGTGGCCCTTTCTATGCCAGGATCTACACAGCATAGAATGGGCCAAACAGATTGTTCTAATAATTGATTCATTAAATTCTCTTTACGCAGTTATATATTATGGTTACTGAATGAAAATAAGTTTAAAAAATAACTATAATAACAGTAAATAGTATAGAAATAGTTAAATTTGAAACACCCTACAACTGTCCGCCAGATATCGTGAAATCTGTCAATGTTACGGCGGCATCTACTTCATTTATAATAGTAAATGTACAGGGAATCTCTAGGTTACCTAAACGTAGAAACGTAATTAACCGTAAAACGTAACCTAAAGTTAACAAAGTATCGTTAAATAATAACTACCGTGAGTTACACTGTCTTGTAACTATTTATATTGGATTTACTCACGTTTTACTCACCCCCCACTGTCGCCATCTACCGCACAAGCCCTGCAACAAACAGCTCGCTGTTCCTACAGTGCTGTTCGCGACAGCCGTGAACCGCGCTCATGAATGAGGGCTCCTATCGAGTTGGAAGTCGACAGGGCCAAATTTGAAACGTGATTAAAGCAGATATAAATGTTTAAATAAACTATCTGCTAATAGTCCCCTGTATAGACCACATATTATTAATTAAGTTATGGCAAATAGTCTAAAATTTAACAAAATACATTATTTACACGTTTATTGGGCATTTAAATAAATTCATCATATATATATATATATATATATATATATATATATATATATATATATATATATATATATATATATATATATATATATATATATATATATATATATATATATATATGCACTTGAAAAGATACAGCGGTTAGTTGAACAACTTGTTAGCAAGGGAGGGCTTATCTCTAAAAGAGATCTCTTCCAACCAACCCAATGTGTACACTGTCTTGGCCTGCTATAAAAGGCACTCTCAGGTAGTCGTTATGAAGCTTCGTTCAAATTCTTGGGGTTGGCACCAAACAATTCTGGAGTGGCCAGAGATTGTAACTGAATTGGACAGCTCTGATATACGTCGTACAGTCGAGTTACCTGAACTCTCCACTTAACTTCACTGAGTGAGTATAACTCTGAGTTAAAATTAACTGCCTTTAAACAACTCCTTGGACTGTAAGTTATGTTTTGTTAGATTTTAGACCGACAAACGCGTTCGTAACGTAAAGCTTTAAACGAAAGCTAATGTAGGCTTTTTTATAAATATATATATATATATATATACAGAAGCTGTTATATTTCTTTATTATTTTTTTCATGAGTAAAGCTTTATTTTTGATACAACAAGTATCGCTTCCTATTTACGAGTGTAGCCCATAATATTATCCACTTGAAATATGTTTTTTTTTTTTACTTTTTTTTTATATATATATATGTCGTTTTATGTGAATTTTGTGTTAATTTTTAATTATGCACTCAGATGCACAATTAACTGGTCAAGAAAAAATCGAGAAGTATCAATAGTTATTTGTTTTAAATTGATATTTTTAAACTACTCGAAAAAGCTAGTGGTTTGTTTAAATTAACTCACTCTCGCACTATTGTGTTACCGACAGTTATTTCGACCGCATTTAGTTTTTCATTCTCATTAAAATGTTATTTTCTAATCATATAAACCTGAGTCCTCAAGAATGGCAACGCATGGGGGGTATCATGGGCGAAACAGTATACTCTGTTATGTCCACGGTACTGTTTAGGTCTATAGGCGACGGTTACCACTTTCCATCAGGTGGGCCGTCAGCTTGTTTGCCATTCTAAGTTGTATAAAAAAAAAAGAAAAAACTGTATGTTGATATTTTAGAATATTTGGCAGTAAATATAAGTAATATATGTATCTCTCTAATATCTATGTATTGGTTTGCTCTGGACATTGATGGCGGAATAAAGGGTCATGACCTTTTTTTTATTTTTCGATTATTATGAATTATAATCCAAAAATAAAAAAAGGTCATTCATTTCGATATTGCTCATAATACCGATCGAAAATCTATATTCATTTGAAACGGCTTCTTCGTATCAGTATTATATATTGGATAACTGGTGTTTACCGATATATAGATAACGTAACTACCAATATATAGTTATATACCCAACCCATATTTTTTTATGCAACTTAGAATGGCAAACGAGCTGACCACTCACCTGATGGAAAGTGGTAACCGTCGCCTATAGACATGAGCAGTACCATGCACATAACAGAGTATACTGTTTCGTCCATATTTGTTAGGCATCAACTTTTGTTTAAATTTGTCGATTACCACTTTCCATCAGGCGGGCCGTCAGCTTGTAAATAATAAATTAATTGAAAACATGTAAATAAAATGTTTTTGGCCATTAATTATGTGTCTGAGTAATAATTATTTATTTGCAGTAAATTTTACACTTGGCATAGTTAGTAAACGATCTGTGCATGTCTTTTTTTTTTTCTATGTAACCATTTAAAAATGATACAGTCATAAGCAATATATGGCCTGGGATAGAGCTGGCTGGAAGATGCATGAATTATTTGCACCGACAAGAGGAGACTCTTAAATGAAAAAGCTCATATATTATGAACTTTTTTTTTAACTATTTGTTGAGGGATGACTACCGTGAGTCATACTGTATTGTAGTTATATAGAAAGAAAGAAAGAAATAATTTAATCGAAGAAGCATGCGGCCCACACAGTAGCGCACAAAACAAGAACAAAAGAAATCAAAACAAAACAAACAAAAGAAAATAATAATTGTGTACAAATAGAAAGCTATTAAATTATAATAATAATCAATAAACAAACAAACAGTAGTATTAAAAATATCATTTTTTTACTGACGTATAAATTTCGAGGTTGCCCGACTAATATGAATAAGCAATTAGGTATTGGTAATGTGGATACCGATCTCTATATATTGGGTTTCTCTGGACATTGATGGCGGATATGTCATCATTATATAAATTTAATATATAATTTTAACCCATTTCGATATCGCCCATATCGGTTGAATATCTATTTTGGAATATATCAAAACTCTGTTATATCCAATATTTTTTTTTTTGGGTAACAGATTTTTAGCATATTCGTTATTGGACCAGTATATAGGTATTGTAACAAATATATATATTTACATATTACCCACCCCTAATAGCTATTTATTCTATGAACTATTTTTTATTACAAAGACATGGCAATATTATCTGTAACTAAATAACGGAAAATAACGGGAATTTACTCGACTTACTGTGATTGTCGTTTCCAATTGTTTCTACCACTTCTAGAAGTCTACAGAGTGAGTGACGGCGCTTTACGTCGCAATGTCCCGTCTCGTGCTCAACAAAATTACATTTTTTATAAATAACATGCCAAGATTGTTACTAATTGTACCGAGTAAAATATATATATATATATATATATATATATATATATATATATATATATATATATATATATATATATATATATATATATATATTATAAAAACAATTAATTACCTAAAACAACCTCATTATGTCTGCACACGTGCACGACGGCAATGTTTGTGAGTTCACCGTCGTTACCGACAATTCCGACTTCGTCAACGTGCGTACGTCGCATTGCGTCGTAACGTCTCGCCTCGCATTGTGACTTTGTGAAGTTCCCCTTGTGCTCGCGTGCAGACATTGTTAAAATTAATATTTAAGTTTAAAAATAACCTCATTACGGTTTAATATTGTATTTATTGTATTTCTCTGTTAGTGTCCAGTTAGAGTGTATATTGTTTTGTGTACATAGTATGTAGTAAGAAGGGACATTGATGGGGGATTTGTGCCTGCATGTAACAAACATGGCAGTGATTAATTGTAAAACAAATTATATATATATATATATATATATATATATATATATATATATATCTATATATATATGTGTGTGTGTGTATATTTCAATCTGTATTTATGTTACTGTATTTCACTTGAATTAGTCACTTGTCATTGTATATTTTTATTTATGGTGTAATAAAGAGTCATATATATATATATATATATATATATATATATATATATATATATATATATATATATATATATATATATATATATATAATTATTTATTGCACTATAAAATACAGTAAAAGGGATTTGTTCCAGTCAATATACATATATACTTTACGGGAATCGAACCGGCGACTGTCGGTGAGGCAATCTAGTAAATCATTAACTTTATTTATTTAACTAAGTCTATTTTAAGAATTATAACTACCTCTACGGCGCAGTAGTAGTAGTTCAAGTCCTGGGTTCGATTCTCGTTCACTTTAAGCACGACTGCTATTCATGTGATTTCCTTATGATAGTAATGCATCGACCTAACCCAATGATTGGATAGTTTGCTATAGAACTTTTATGGGATTTTAGTTCTCTTGAACCTTGTATATTGTAATTTGATCCCCTAGTCCCCTTATGGGGATGAAATTATCTTGGGGATGTTGTTGACACATTTTTTTTTCGTCTATTAATAATGACAAACTTATTTTGCATTTATATTTTTATGTATGTATTTCCATAAAGGGTTGACGTCAGGCAGGCGGCCGGTCGTAGAACTATAAGACAAATCTGTTTGTAGTATGGATAAAAAACATTGTCGACCCCAAATTGGGATAAGGGTAGGGATATGGAGGTTGTTTACAAATTAATCACTCCTATGTTCATATTATGATAAGTTACTTAAAAAAACGATGTGCCGAAATAGTATTTAATTAGTTTAATTGTACTATGAATAAATGTATTATATATATATTGTAAATATTATAGGTCGCCGTGGATTTTGGTTGAAATTACTACCTCTTGATGCACACAATCTCGTGCGGTTCATTTACCGAGTTAATGATGACGACGAAGCGACATCTCTAGGATAGAGTCGAAATTAATGTAGTAACCGATGATACTGGCCGTTAAAGAAATGGTTAATAAAATTAAAAAGAAATGTTTACCCTCCCACGCTTTGTACAGCTTTCTTTTTTTTTTATTAAGCCAGCAGTTGTTGCCAGATGCAATTTCTTAATTTTTTTTTCCTAAAATGTCATATTGTTTTTTTTTTTCTACAAATCGATGCTTTTATCAATTTGTGTTCTTTTTTTTATGCTGTATTCTCAATTTGAAAGGATGTTACTGATCACTGATAGTTTAAATGGTTTTGTAAAAGGATTTAAGCTTTTGTGATTGTGGGGTTTGATTTTTACTTGAAACTTAGCAAGTTATTAAATTTAATCATTTAAAAATAAAACATACAAGAGAATAAAAATGTTAAATATAATATTGACTAGCTTCTCGCCCCGATTTCGCATACTTATGAAGAAAATGAGATTAAACCTTAATACAGTATACCTTTTTAATTATTAACCTATTTGCTTATTCCATACATTGTTTCTATCAGAAAAAAATATGTCAAGATTATTTAATAGTTTTACCAAGTATTGTAAAAGAAATAACAATTATATTGTAAATAATATCTCTTGTCTATGACTACCAAAATCCATGGTTTAACTTTTTTTTTTTTAATAATTAATTATTGCATACTTACATATTTTGTTGCCATATTTTTTTTTACATATCTTACTAATTGTAGGGTGTTACGATTGTACGTATGAACAGTTTGTGATTTGTATTCTGGACGGTGTGTATTAAATCATGATTTATTCATGGCATATAAAAATAGTCGATAACTTATAACTCGGTATGCTTTTGTAAAATTTGAAGTCGATAAATCATTACTCGCCATAGAAACTGTTTTGTTTTGAAGTACCTTTTTTTTTTGGGGGGAAAGTTTACTATGAGCATTGATAACATTAGCTTACCGAAGTTGGCCACTACACAATTGTTTGTTTTATTTATTTAATCTTTAATGCACAGTAAAATTCTATGTACATATGGCGGATTTAACACCGGACGGTGTTCTCTACCAGTCAACCATTGGGCAAACAGAGAAATAAGTAGGCGGTGCATTATTGAATTGAGGAAAAATAAAGCAATACTTGATAAATTCATATAATATAAACATACACATAATATATTAAATAAATAAATAAATTCATAAAATATTACTATATAAAACAATTAAATAAAACAACTGCAATAGAAGAGCAAATAGTAATCTATGACTCAAACAGAGTAATTATTTTTAGATTGTGAAATATAGATTGGCAATTTAAAAGAGAGAAAACATGGCAAGTATATTAGAGCGAGATAGACAAGTAGGACACTAACGCCATCTACGTAAATAAGCTCGAAGCTGATTTGGCGGGAGTATGTACACAATATTTTTGTAATTATTTTTACATTTTAAAGTGGAATTACTATTATTTTGACAGTATTTAGTTAAAATATAGTGTTCCATGCCTGAATGTATTATAAATTAGTAAATAGAGCCACGAAATAGCACATTTTTCACGCATATAAAATTAGTACTAAAAATTTTTCATCTACTTCGTATTTTGCTTTGGAATCTATCAAATACATTTCTGCTTGAAAATTGTTAAATTGTTCTTGAATAATTTGACATATAATTGGACCAAGTGTCACTTCGATAAGCGAAAGTTATAAACGCTCTTGTTTCAACAAACTATTATTTTACGATAGACAAGATGTTTGTGAAGGATTTCTTACAATACAACAAATTTTAACCAAGTACACTGAGATTTAAGTGTTGTTTTTAAAAATAAAACAAAATTCACTCGTTGTTAATACACACACACACACATACACACGAAACGGAGACCCATGTAACTATATGTAGATTTTTTTATATTGGACTCGATTCCGAAGTCTCATTTCTGTAAACCATTCACTTGAACTAATATTTTAATTCGATATTTTCACAAAATTACTGTTTTATAGATCGTCATAAACCGAGTTTATAATACTTTTAAATTGAACTTGTTAGAAAAAAAAATATTCAATACTAAAAAGATTTTTATTTTTAATTTTTAAAGATTGGTTCAGAGAAATGACGCCTCAGAATCGACCCCTGTTATTTGTGCAAATATTAGTCAAGTGTTAGTTTGTTAGTTGCAAAGGGAACTGCCATGCATTTTATTACAATAACAAATAATCCAAACGAGATAATTTGTTATAACTTCAAAGTGGAGAATTTTAGACTTTTTTTGTGTATACATCGTCACAGTCGTAGAATACTAACGGATCTGTATATGTAATATTCGTCAGATCCGTCAGTATTCTACGACTATGACGATTTGTACCATGTTAAATGTCATAAACAGCAAAATTAATTCACTTACGTGCATAAAAATAAATATATTAGATGGAGTGACTCTCGTATACTTTTTGTAGCCTTTTCCCCCTTCAGACCGCGCATAAACTAGAAATTAAAAATGTACGCTCATTTAATAATTATAATTATGATTTAATAAGACTTACGCCATATTTGCAAGTGAGAAAGGTAAATTCTCACTGCCATGTCCGTTGCTTGCGAACCCTGATTGTTTTAGATCTAAAAAGGACATGGTCCGTCGCTCCGCCAACTTTGTTATTGTTAAATTAACAGAAGTGACGACTCTACTCTATTTATTCTTATACCGTAGTGAACTCGAGTAAGTAAACATTATTCAGGGACGGCAATTATTTATTTTTGCTCGTATCAGCAAAATATCTAGATTGAAAATGTTAAATAGCGCCATCTATGTAGTCCCAAAGTAAACAGTCCGTACCATAGATAATAGACAAATTATGGCCATACTTTTTTTTTTTAATTTTTAAATTTAGATCTCTCCGTAGTGTTTATTTGTAAATGCCACTGCAGATTACCTATCGCCAGTCTAAGTGGAAGACTAAAACATATTTTTTTTTCTTTGTATTTGTAGTGTATTGTTCAATTATTATTATTTCATTGTAAATATTTAGCGGTAAGTGCGTCGTTAAGCGTCTCAGAAATACGGAGATAATAAAATATTTGTCTATATTTGGTTGTTTCTTTGTTCTAAGGTTATCTGGAATTGAGATGAGATTGGTCTCGGCAATAAGACCGCCTTACTGTATTTATACAACTGTATTGTTACATTTATTAATTGTTTTACTTGTTCCCCTATATTGTATAATGCAAATAAAGTATAATAATAATCTCTTTATTGCGCACAGTAGAGATGAATACAAGGAGTATTTATACAGAATGTGCATATACAAATGGCGTCCTTATCGCTAAAAGCAATCTCTTACAGACAACTTGGCCAGAGCTGGCCAGTACACTCATTCTAAAGATAGACAGGTATCATTCCTTCTGGCAGCTTATTGGTGCATTATATTTCTAAATTTTCACACCATCACTAATGGCGTTTAAAAAATTATCAGCTGTTAGTGGCCACTGCTGATTTAGGCCTCTCCCTTTGGAGGGTTTGCCAATAGTTGCCGCGTTTGGTAAACGGGTTGGCAACCGCAGTTAAGCTTTGGTGATGTTTTAACAGGGACGTTGCTGCTCCCTCGACCTTTAAGTTCTAGTCGGGTGACGGGAAAAGAAGGGGTGGCTCATTCTATGTTTGGACCACACAGCAAAATATAATGAACTTACAATTTGTTGATTTTTTTCAAATCGATTCAGTAGTTTTAAGTTTTTAAATCAAAATAACAAAAGTAACTAGTTTTGCAACAACTGAAGTCGATTTTTTATTTGAAACATGAATTATATATTTTAAATTTCATAAGAAAATATATCTCAAAAATACAATAGCCACTTTCTACCATCGTACGGCTCGCCATCGACAGAGAGTTCATCCTCATGTCCTACAGCCTCAATGGTCCCGTACTGCGCGGTTTCAGAGATGTTTCCTCCCACGAACACTCAGGTTGTGGAATGAGCTCCCTGCCGAGGTTTTCCCAAGAGACTACAGCATGGGGTTCTTCAAAAGGGGGGTAAAGAGGTTTCTTCAGGGTCAGCAACGCACGCGTAATGCCTCTAGTATTGCAGATGTCCATAGGCTACGGTAACCACTTACCATCAGGTGGACCGTATGCTTGTTTGCCACCTCAGCGGTATAAAAAAAAATACAATAAAATCCAATATTGTTTAAAACGTTTAATTATAAATTAATATACATATAAAAGCATACAAAGACATTATAGTAACTTATGCTAAGAAATGCACTGATTGGTACGTCTCGCATTAACATTTCCGACTTATCATTACATTAAAATTCATTTTGAATAAAAAAACCATCGAATAATACTATTCATTAATTGCTTCCATATTTCGCACTATATTATTCGTCAATGTCATTGACGGATTAGTACAAAACCAGATTTTCAGTTCGTCAGTCCATGTAGAACGGTTTTGGTATAAAAAATTTGACATTGTATGCAAAAGACCTAACCTCTAATCTCGGAAATATAAAAAATGATATACAATAGAGTTTCCGGCGAGGAAATGGCTAAATATAAGAACGATACAGATATCCAGAAGAAAGTAGAAGTGTCTCGGACGAAACGTCCTCGCCCGGTGAATCACCAGCTGTGAAAGACCGCTCATAGCAAAGGCTGTTCAGTCTTGACGGGCCTAGTCGTGCTGCTCATCCTGCGCGAGCTCCTCCATGTCTTCCTGATCAAACTCCGTGTCGTCCTCAGCTGTGGCCTCCTGATACTGCTGGTATTCGGACACCAAATCGTTCACATTGCTCTCCGCTTCGTTAAACTCCATCTCGTCCATGCCCTCACCAGTGTACCAATGGAGGAAAGCCTTGCGCCTGAACATAGCAGTAAACTGCTCAGATATTCTCTTGAACAGCTCCTGGATGGCGGTTGTGTTCCCGATAAACGTCGAAGACATCTTCAGCCCTTTGGGAGGTATGTCGCAGACAGCTGTTTTCACGTTGTTGGGGATCCACTCGACGAAGAAGCTGCTGTTCTTGTTCTGAATGGACAGCATCTGTTCATCCACCTCCTTCATGGACATGCGGCCGCGGAAGATGGCGGCGACGGTGAGGTAGCGGCCGTGACGCGGGTCGCATGCCGCCATCATGTTCTTGGCGTCGAACATCTGTTGTGTGAGTTCTGGCACGGTGAGGGCACGGTACTGTTGGCTGCCGCGGGATGTGAGCGGCGCGAAACCGGGCATGAAGAAGTGGAGACGTGGGAAGGGTACCATGTTGACGGCCAGCTTGCGGAGATCCGCATTCAGCTGACCAGGGAACCTGAGACACGTCGTGACCCCGGACATGGTGAGCGACACCAAGTGGTTGAGGTCGCCGTACGTGGGGTTAGGTACTTTGAGGGTCCTATAGCAGATGTCATAGAGAGCTTCGTTGTCTATGCAGTAAGTTTCGTCTGTGTTTTCGACTAGCTGATGAATAGAGAGGACTGCATTGTATGGTTCTACTACTGTATCTGACACTTTGGGCGAGGGTACAACTGAATATGTGTTCATAATTCTGTCGGGGTACTCTTCTCTGATCTTGGAGATGAGGAGTGTGCCCATACCGGAGCCGGTGCCGCCACCGAGGGAGTGTGTGAGCTGGAATCCTTGGAGGCAGTCGCAGTTTTCACACTCTTTGCGAACCACGTCTAGTACTGCGTCGACGAGTTCTGCACCCTCTGTGTAGTGTCCCTTGGCCCAGTTGTTGCCGGCGCCGGACTGGCCGAATACAAAATTGTCCGGGCGGAAGAGTTGGCCGTATGCGCCGGAGCGGACGGCGTCCATGGTGCCGGGTTCAAGGTCGAGGAGTATGGCGCGGGGGACGTACTTCCCGCCGCTCTCCGCCGTCGCAACTGTTGACAAATATATACATAACATTAATAGATAATCGTTAGTATTAATAGCATTCTTTTAAGGGCAAAAAGAGTCCTTAAAAATCCCTTAAAAGGAATAAAGAAAGTTCTGCCACTGAAACTGTATGGTTTTCTCAAAGGAACATACTGTACGTGAGACTCAAAATTTGTCGTATTTCAATTTTTAATTAGCGAAATTTCTGACCTATATTTGACTTTAAAAATCATCATTATCACATCAGCCGCTAACTGGCAACTGCTAAACATAGCTGCGCGTTGGGCAAGCGGATTGGCAACCACAATTTGGCTTTTGATGTTTTATGAGGGACCTTTACCATAAGCTTCCTTGGTCGCCTCTTACGACACCCACGGGAAATGACGTGCAGCTAAAGATATTTATATATATCATATGAACCTGTATGTGTGGGGGGAAAGTGATTGTTAGTAATGAGATTTAACAGCCCCATTCATTGCTGGCAATACAACCTATCAGGTCGTCCCTTTCGCGGATCCCCTTTAAAACCATCGTGCTGAATTCTAGGTTCACCTGCGCTAACGGGATACGCTGGCGGAGCACCAGTGAAAGGTGATCGATGAGGATAAAAACAGGCCAGTTAGCCTATCATGATGAATTCATCAGGAATTAATCATGATAGCTTCCAGGAGGAACCGCGAGGAGGTCGACCTGGTTGGGTATATTGCTAGCAATGGGATTCTCAATGTCCATTACTAACAACCCCTTTCCCCCCTCTAGGTGTATTCGTCACGGTAGGCTAACTGTCCTGCATTTTCATTCGTACCTATCATCCCTCACTGGTGTCCCGCTATCGTATATCATGGGCGCAGGCGAGATTACCATTCTATTATCATCCATTAGAAAAAAAGAACCTGTATAACCCGACCCTTCAATATTAAAAAAAAAAACTTGTCAAGTCAGCTAGTTCATCTGTAAAACATGCCATTGTATACGTTGCTGTCGCATGCCGCTGCGATGTAGATACATTGAAGTTATTATCCAAATCGCCTATTTTAAAGTTAAAGTTATTCGGTCGCGTGAGTGTATAGACGGCCGGGATTATGAATAAGTAACGATGTAACCGTACATAGACAGTTAGACGCGGTAGAGCGTGGTCGCAGACCGCAGACTACTTGATAGCGCGTATCGATGGCCTAACCTCGACTCCACTGGAGGGAGAGGGGGGGGGGGGGGATTGTTAGTAATGCGGGCTACCAGTCCCATTGCTAGCAAAACACCCTGTCAGGTCGACCTCCACGCGGTTCCCTCTGGAAACCATCGTGCTGAATTCGAGGTGTATTCATCACGATGAGCTGACTGGCCTGCTTTTTTTATAATTCCATCCATCATCAGGAATCACCATGTATTTACTGAGTCGTCTACAAATCGGTACCTTGGGATTCGAAGAAACGCGTGAAGTATTAATTTAATATATGTGTTACGTGAAGTATTAGTGGGTAAAAATCCCACATTTTTCTACCCTCTCTCCGGCAGTTCGGACGGTTTTTGGAAGATTTTTGCATGGCAAAAGAATACACCGTGTATAAGTAGAACCGAGGTTTTTTTAATGGATAATAATAGAGTGGTAACCCCGTATACGCTATCGGTATACACTGGCGGGGCACCAGTGATAGATGATAGGTGAGAATGAATGCAGGTCAATTGGCCCACCATGATGAATTCGACAAAAAATAACCATGATGGTTTCCAAGGGGAACCGCGTGGAGGTCAACCGAAGAGGGTATATTGTTAGTAATGGGGCTATTAGACCCCATTACTAACAACCCTCATACCCCCCAATCATACTAAACCTGTGGGGGGAAAGGGATTGTTAGCAATGGGGTTTGAAAGCCCCATTGTTAGCAATATGCTGATGCTTGTTTGCAATCATTATAGTATTAGGGTTATAGGGTTACCATTCCATTATCACCCATTAATAAAAAAAAATTCTAAACCTGTTACTTTCTGATCCTTTGCGATCGTTGCTGTACAGAAAAAGTTTACATACAAAATCTGTTATGACGTTATGATTATGATGTTAACTTAATCATGGATTAATCCCCTTCTAGCGGGTCAACGGACTCGTGCAGACGGTCAATTTGTCGCCATCATTACAATAATTGTTATGACTGCTCGTGTCCTATTATGTTGATGTGTTATTAACAATCAGCTGTTGCCTGCGGTTTAGGCCGTACCCGTTATCTCACATTTCCGAGTAAATTTTCAATAAATTCTTCTTAGTTAATAAATTAACATTTAGTTGACTCGATTTGACATATATATTTTTTAAATTAAGGACAAAACGCGCCATTTATTCAGTGTTGCAATTTAATTAAACTAAAAACTTCCCAGATCAAGTCTATTTATTATATTTAAATTTAGAACTATTTTTTGTGATTTTATATAAATATACATATTTTCGTATTTATTAGAAATATCTAAGTATTAATTAAAATGACGGCAACTTTCAATCAGATTTTGTATCGTTTTAATTTTCAATTAACTTTACAATACAATTTCTCCCATATACTGAGTAGTAACTATGCATTATGGTCAGTGTTACCACAACACGAATAAAAAAGTTGGCCTGTTTTCAGTAAAGCATTTGTATGGAGACAGACGTCCACGTCAAACAACGCCTCTTTTTGCGTCAAGGATTAAAAAGGACCTCAAATACAAATCAAAGACATAAAAAAATAACATATATACAAGTACTGACCAGAAGCCTCATTATAATATACGGAGATGCGCTCGAGCTGCAGATCGCTGGTGCCCTTGTACACGCCCGTCGGGTCGATGCCGTGCTCCTCGGATATGATCTCCCAGAACTGAAACCAACAGGAAATACATTTTATTATTTTGTTTTTTTTTTTATACTACGACAAGTGGCTAACAAGCATACAGCCCGTCTGACTGTAAACGGTCACTGTAGCCTATGGACGTTTGCAACACTAGTGGTGTCACGTGCGCGTTGCCCACCCTGAAGAAACCTTAATACACCCTTTTTAAAGAACCACATACTGTAAGAATAAATATTTAAAGACCACTGACAGGAAAATCATAACCACACCATTACACAGTTAAGTCCTCTATCATCAAGCACAAAATAATATTTCTTAATTTTTTTTGTAATACGAGAACACTCCTGTTGGGCTGTTACATATACAGTAACCGACATAGCCCGAAGGATAAGCAAGCTAAACTGGCAATGGGCTGGTCATATAGCTCGAAGAATCGATAACCGACGGGGAAAAAAGGTTCTTGAGTGGCAACCCCGTACGTAAAACGTAGTGAAGAACGAGTCTCCGCTAGATGGAGTAATAAACTCAATTGTATTGTAGGGAGTTTTTTTTTATGGGTGAAAATGGTATGGTAGCCCCGCCTGCGCTAACGGGATACACTGGCGGAGCACCAGTGAAGGGTGATAGATGAGAATGAAAACAAGCCAGTTAGCGCATCATGATGAATTCATCAGGAATTAACCATGATAGTTTCCACGGGGAACCGCGAGGAGGTCGACCTGGTTGGGTATATTGCTAGCAATGGGATTCTCAGTCTCCATTACTAACAATTCCTTTCCCTCCTATTGTAGGGAGTTAGTGGATGCAGGTGGGTAAGGACCGTTCCTTATGGCAGTCTATGGCGGAGGCCTTTGTCCAGCAATGACGCGCGGCGTTTAGTTGTATGTATCATTGAGGAAAACCGTTTCATTGTTTTAAATTACTGATACCATTAATATTAATATAGTATAATTCTCGGACGCAACACTGCGTTGCATACAAGTACTGGAATACAAGCCAGCGTATTGTGTTGCCTTATTTTTTAATTCGTATTTGCATATCAAAATGGCGGACGTCTCGACCCCACGGACTTGTGGGTTGCATTGTTGTTGCTAAATCGAGCTTTTTCGATGCATGCCGGTACAGTTGCAATGTCGAATGAGCTGTATCGAATGGTTAATATTATCAGCTTTTTTAGATAGTTAATATTTTTTTTTTTTATTAAAGAAAAACTAGCAAGTAGAAAGTTTCATAATAAAAAAAAAAAGACAAAAAGGCTAATTACAGGTTTTTAAAATAAAAAAAAAAAACAAGACAACTAATGCACATGACATCGCTAATACTTACAATTAACTGAATTAACCCTTAAATACCTGAAGTATCAAATTTGATACCGGGGTTATAAATCGCATTGGGCGCCTACAATCGATTTTATTTTAATATTTGGCTGTATACATGTTACCAAATGTTTTTTTTTTTTTTAAATAAATATATGAAAATATCGTTTTGATTCTTTTACTATTTTTCCCCATTAGTAAACACAGTAAAGGGTATACTTATATATTTTTTTAATTTGATTTAAAAAATCAGGCTTTTAAGGGTTAAACTTAGAGTAACAACATTACAGTTGTACACACATTATAGATAGGCAGTTATACAAAATAAAAAGTTGAAATCACTCGCTCAAAGATGAAAAGCCACTGACTTAAAATACGTCTTACTGATTCTATCTTAGATTTAAAAAATGAAAACACATTTATTGTTTATAATTAAAGAAAAGGAACTAAATACTTAAAATTCTTTAAAAACAAGTTCTCAATTTGTTTAAATTTTTTTATTTGCTAAAAACTAAGTACGTATAAATTTTCAACGTCTTCTAAATTCGAATATATTTTAAATAAAACTTAGTAAGTAGTATTTACAAGAAAGTTAAGCAAGTTTGTGTGTGGGTGTCTTACATTGATGGGCGGCTGTAGGTTTTGTAGCTTGGTAACTTGAACCTTTCATTTCCTCGGAATACACGTTAAAATCTCAAATACTATTAACGTATTTTAAGGTAATATGTAGAAATATAGATACATAAGTTCCTTATTTTATTTGATTTGATATATTTTGAAGAATAAATGGTTACTTAGAACATAGAAAATAGAGAAAACAAATTGTCTATGGTAAACGTCATTATGTTTAACCAACCTGTAATAAGGCATCAAATATGAAAAAAAAATTATAAAAAATTGTAGTACAACCCTATTTATATAATATTTTAAATATAAATGTTTTAAAAATTCAATTTTTTTATATTTTTTATAAAGTCACCACCTGGAAAGTTACTTTTTATGTGATTTAGAATGACAAACAAACAGATGGTCTACCTGATGGGAAGTGATAACCATTGCCTATTGATATAAAGAGTACTATGAACATAACAAAATATACTGTGTCGCCCATGATACTGTTTGTACATTGCCAATCCTCAGAAATAAAATGTTATAACTCTGTACTCTGTAATTTCATATAATGGGTATACCCATATGATTCCAACATGTTATATTTTTTTTTTGATGGGTGAAAATGGTGTGGTAACCCCGCCTGCGCTACCGATATACGCATGCGGAGCACAAATGAAGGGCGATAGATGAAAATGAAAACAGGCCAGTTAGCCCATCATAATGAATTCATCAGGAATTAACCATGATAGTTTCCAGGGAGAACCGCGAGTACGTCGACCTGGTTGGGTATATTGCTAGCAATGGGATTCTCAGTCTCCATTACTAACAATCCCATTCCCCCCATCTTATATATTGGCATATCCAGTTATGGAGCATTGTATTCACAAGAAGTTTATAAAAAAAAAAATATTCCCGCGTTAGAGTTAAGCAACACTAAAAGCAAAATACAAAGAACCCCAAACAAGTCCGGACAAGTTCTGGAAAAATAAGATAAGTCCGAACACACGCTGTGGACAAGCGAGTCATAATGTGATAACTAACTCGACTACAAAGAGCCAAAGGTCATGAACCCTGTTGTACGCACTTCTTCATTCCTGTGTCTCAATTTTAGGTAAAAAGCAAAACAAATTGAAAACGGGAGGGAGACTGTACAAAAGTTGATTGCTTGGGTACCTCTGTCCCATTCGTGTTTCTACCGTGAAGCAGTTGTGTTTGCATGGCTGTGTTTCGGTTTGAAGGGTGGGATATGGCGTGAATTTACAGGGTACAGAGGAATAACACCTTCCCTTTCCCCCCAACCATCCTGGTTAATTCTAGTGGAAATTGTCACGATGGGCTCACTGACCAGCTTACATCGTCACCTAATCATCCTTCACTGGTGTCCCGTCAGCGTATACCGACAGTACAGGCGTTGCCATTCCATTTTCATCCATTAAAAAAATATCGAATTACATTTAAACCTACGCAGAGTAGTTATTAACACAGAATAAGAAGTCTTTTTTTTTATACAACTTAGAATGGCAAACAAGCTGACGGCCCACCTGATGGAAAGTGGTAACCGTCGCCTATAGACATGAGCAGTGCCATGGACATAACAGAGTATACTGTTTTGTGCATGATACCCCCCATACGTTGCCATTCCTGAGGACTCAAGTATTATTCCTCTGTACCCAGTAAATTCACGCCATATCCCACCCTTCAAACCGAAACACAGCCATGCAAACACAACTGCTTCACGGTTGAAACACGAATGGGACAGAGGTACCCAAGCAATCGACTTTTATACAGTCTCCCTCTGGTGATAATGCAATAATATTGATTGAGGAAAATAACGTCATCTATAAATAACAAGCTGTGGTATTCTCTTGCAATAAACATAATGTTTCCTCAAAGTTTCATTGTATCAATGGTAAACAGTAGCAGGTAATTCCAGTACCTTAGATTGGGGGGAAGGGATTGTTAGTAATGCGGACTACCAGTCCCATTGCATGCAATATACCCTGGCAGGTCGACCTCCACGTAATTCCCCCTGGAAACCATTGTGCTGAATTCCAGGTGTATTCATCACGATGGACTAACTGACCTGCGTTTTCATTCTCACCTATCATTCCTCACTGGTGCTCCGCCAGTGTATACCGTTAGCGCAGGTTACCATTCCATTATCATCCATTAAAAAGTACCTTAGATTAGATAGAGTGTCTCCATACAATTTTTTCGAGAAAAACGAATCAACTTTTTCATACAATTTTGCATGATAAATAGTTATGAGCGATTCCTTTATAATTTCTATATTTATTTTGTCTTATAATTTCTGCTTAATTTTAATTAATTAACGTCCCCATTACTAACAATCCCTCCCCCCCCCCCCGCCCCTTCTCATAAAAGATATATATAGACAGTATACTATTGTAATCTTTTGGAGGAAACAATAAAGAGTATCTATCTATCTATCTACCTTTCTAGTAGGAGGGAAGGAATTTGTGGTAATGGATTACCATTCTCATTGCTAACAATGTACCATTTCAGGTCGACCTCCACATGGTGAATTTGAGATGTATTCACCACGATGGAGTAACTGACCTGCCTTTTCATTCTCATCTATCATCCCTCACTGGTGCCCTAACAGCGTATACCGTTAGCGCAGGCGAAGTTACCATTCCACTATCATCCGTTAAAATAAATTCTTTTTTCGAATCGTTAACACAATTACATAGATAAAACATTCATCCAAGTAAGTATCGAACTAAAAGAAAATAAATGGGACACACACAAAAGTTGTAATTTACCATAGACAAATTACTTTTTTCCCATAGGTAAGGAGGACATCGCACTCATTGTCAATCGATGGCCAGTGTGAATGTAATTGGTTTGCCCCATCGCGTGTGTCCAGTTTGAATAACTTAAATATACATTAGGGACAAGGTACGACCACAACATTAACTATACTCAACACGTTATAGCACGGTACCGCTGACAGGTCACAAAAACCATAGACAAAAATACTAAAACATAACTTATGGGTTCAACAAAACGTTTAATTGTAAATAATGAATTAGTAATCATTAGGTTGTCTACGACTCCAAAGTTTTCACTTTACAC